CGAAATCCGAAGTCGCAAATGAATCATTGCTGAAAATTCTGAAACATTCGATGTGATACAAGGTACTCTCCGATATCAGTTTGTTGCCATTTNTACAAATATTTATGTACTTACATATTCTTTATAACTTCTTGTGAAACAAGAGCTTTGCTCTTATCGCCAAACCACTTTGTTCACACATTTTGTTTTAATTGTATACTAATGTGTATACGTTGTGAATAAAGTTTTTATAATTACCACGCACAGGTTTATCCTTTTGTGGAAACTATATTTATTTGTCGTTAACTACGATTATTGTGTATTTCAAATTGAATGGCAAATAAATATTATTATTATTATTATTATTAATGTTTCTGAATGTGAACTTGTTAAATCTACACATTGTATCTAATTGTCTGTTTTGTAATCCATTGATAGGGTTTCATTGAATAAATACATCATTTTAATAATTTTCATCTTTCAAATCTTCACAGAACAAAATAAACTGAAGATAACATCAGATTGCTCTTGTATTAGGAAATATCAGACATATTTGTTTAGTCTCGAAATGCGTGAATATGTCAATCAAAACTAGAAAGCGAAAGGCAATTCAAACTAGCGAAGTGAAGAGCCATCAAAGTAGTGACGACTCAAAAATAACCTTATTGAACAGTGTCCTTTTAAGTGGAGAGACAGGCCAGCTGAGAGACAGATTAGTCTGTCGACGTTAGGGCAAATGTCTCTGATCCCAATTCTCCCCTGATTTTACAATATTTCAACTTCACGACTTGTTAAAATTATCCCTTATCTGCTGTCAATTGAGTAAATATGCTAGTCTAAATAATTGGATTCGTGAAAAATTGGTTTTCTGTGTAATTGAGTGACGTGTGGTGTAATTTATGCGCTAGTGTTTTCACGGAATTCGCAAATCGACTATTGATCATTACCATGTGGCTAAACATACTGTAAATTAAATAATTGATGATAACACGAGAAAAACTTTGACTAGTGAATGGAAAAATATTTTTAAAATTTCAACATCACTATATAGTACCTATGCATGTCGGTGTATAGTAATGATAATGACATAATAATAATAATAGTTCCAGAAATAAGCACTTTTCCCAATCACCACAACTTCTCATGAGGCGAGTTCTAAAGTTCTGGTGATTGGGAAAAGTACTTGTTTTAGGATTCATTCTCCGCCAGAGGTTCCAGTTTTACTTTTTATTTTTATTTATTTTGGAATAAGGATAGTATGGATGGATCCTGCACCATCTGCTTGCCTGTGGGACTACTAATCACTTCAAAGTGGAACAATCCCAGTACCAAGAGAGTAACTCTATCTGCGTCAAATATTGGCAACCACTTCGACAAATCTGGTCATCGCAGTTACTGCTACAAATATGCTTGTCCCTCCGCTCTCACTCCACTCCTTTGGAGTAGTGAAGTGGACTCGGGAAGAGCTGTATTAACTCGATGTGAAGACCTAAAAAATAATGCGTCTCCATAAGAGTTTGCATTCCAAATCATCTGTTTCACGGTAGTACTTCCCCGACAACAGGAAGGCCATGGACCTTTTAGTTTGGAGTGTCTACATGACAGAATGGTTTCGACTGGGGCCTGTACCAGGAATTCGGATTCTCTCCTCTACATGTTCCGTGACCATGAAAAAGCACTTAGTTGAAACGCATTTGACTTCGATACGATGTTTTTCTTCAAGCTTTTGATATATCCTTTCCTAAACAGTTTCAAAAAATTAAACAAAATCAAAATTCAAGTAGACACAAACCATGGATTACTAAGGATATCGTTGAAGAAGGTATATTACTCAGAGATATTTATAATTTGAACAAGAGCCAAACCAATGTACATTTATTGGCAATTTATATAAGCAACTCTTAAAAAATCATAGACAAAAAATTGTGCTCTCAAAAAGTCAATACTTTAATAATCAATTCCTCAAGGCTCAACATGAATCTAAAGCTGCCTGGTCTATTATCAGGAAAAATACCATCATCAACGATTCATCTAAATGTTTACCCAGGCTATTTTGACATTGGCGATGGTGTACTTGTTGACGATGGTCCCGGTATATCTCAAGCATTTAGTAGTTATTTTGTCGTTTCAGTGGAGTTATTAGTAAAAAATACTGCACCTGGTGGCATTGAAAATCGTTGTGTAAAAACTGAGAGTCTTTTCCTCTATCCAATAGATGAAACTGAACTCGTGGAAATAATTAAATTCGCATGTTCGATAAATTCCAGTGGGGTTGATGAATTGCCAGGCAATGTTTTATTGAAGGCTGCTTTGAAAATAATGGAACCTCTGATTTATCTAATCAATTTATCTTTCTCTGAAGGTATTTTTCCTTCCCGACTTAAGCAAGCAATGGTCGTCCCAGTCTATAAAAAAGCGATAAGCATGTAATGTCGAACTACAGAGGTATTGCTTTACTATCTCCATTTTCGAAAATATTTGAAGAATCATATCAAAACTTGTGTCCTTTTTAAATAAATACAATATCGTATCTGACAACCAATATGGGTTTCAAGTGGGCTTGTCAACCCAGGATGCCATCCTTTCTCTACATAATCATGTATTATCAAACTTCGACAACGGTGAAAAATCACTCAGTGTTCTTTTCGACTTGACACGAGCGTTTGATACCATACATCATGGTCTTCTTCTTGATGAACTGTTTGACATGGGCGTCCGTGGTCCAAGTCTGAAATGGATTGAAACCTATTTAACTGGTCGTAAGCAGGTTGTAAAAGTTAGGCTTCAGACTGGGTCATTTTTCTCTGAATTTCGAAACGTTGTTACAGGTGTGCCCCAAGGTAGTGTTTTGGGGCCTACACTATTTATTTGATTTGTTAATGACCTTTCAAAAATTAATCATCCACAGTGCTCTATACAATTTGCTGATGACACATCTTTTACTGTCAGTGGTTCGGAATGTGAAACATTGTCAGTAAGAGCAAATAATGCTGTATCCAACATGCAAAATTATTGTTCTAAGAATGGCTCGATTCTAAATAATCTTAAAACCAACACCATTTTCTTTACAATTCAGGAAACTGATTGTAGTGTATTGGTCAGGTCTGAGATTAAAAGTATTGAACAGGTAAACCATAAAAAATTTTTAGGAGTTTTATTGATTCCCAACTCAATTGGAATCATCATGTTGAGTTTATACTGAAGAAATTAGCGACACATTGTTTCGTTATATGAAATCTGCGTAATTTTGTGTCTATTGAAATTCTTAAAAGCTACTATTATGCATATGTTTACTCTGCCCTCAATTACTGTATTATTTGTTTTGGCAACTGCAGTAGAATCAGTGACTTATTAATTTTCCAGAAAAAGATTATTAGAACAATTTGTTTTAAAAAACCACTCGATTCCTGTAAACCACCTTTTGCAAAGTTGAATATATTAACTGTTACTTGCATGTATATTTTTAATTGCGTAATATACGTTAATTCTAATTGCTCTTCTTTAGGGCTTCACCCTGAGAAAAAACTATAACATTTCAATTCCTAGTCATAAGTTAGCCAAGGTGACTAATGGACCTCATATCATGTCAATAAAACTGTAAGTGACTTATTAATTTTCCAGAAGAAGATTATTAGAACAATTTGTTTTAAAAAAACACTCGATTCCTGTTAACCACTATTTGCAAAGTTGAATATATTAACTGTTACTTGCATGTATATTTTTAATTGCGTAATCTACGTTAAATAAAATTGTTCCAAGTTTCACAACAGAGATGATACATGTCTTCTTTCGGGCTTCACCCTGAGAACAAACTATAACATTTTAATTCCTAGTCATAAGTTAGCCAAGGTGACTAATGGACCTCATATCATGTCAAAAAAACTGTACAACGAGCTCCCAATATCCATTAAAAAATAACTAGTGTATAGCTCTTCAAACAAAAAGTTCGGAAAGTATTATGTGAAAAGGTATTTTATTCGCTTGATGAATTTTTTCAGTCTGATTTGGAATTTTAAATTTCAATTTTTGTACCTCTTTTATGGTCTGAATGTTATATAATATATCATATAATTATGTTGTTTTATGATTGTGACCTCATTTTTATTGTACTGAGTTATGTGACTTTTTCCATGCTGTCCCTAGGTCTACGGAAATAAAGATTTTTGATTTGAAGTATTGAAAAAATACTTAATAATGCGGGGTCAAACCCAAAATTGGTCGTATAAATAAAATCAACTAGTGGTACTTCAACAAAAGTGTTTTTATTCATTTCATTAAAGTGATCATGAATTACCACAAAATAAACAAGTAATCAATCATACATAATACAGAAACTATATGAATCATAAATAGTCAATAGTAACGGCATCTTTTTCTTTTCCTAATATATTTTTTCCGGTAAACTAACACATAGTTTACCTCTGAAAAACTGGATTTGCCAGGATTTTGAAAACACTTGATACCCTCACGATGAAATCCAATGATACACTGAAATGGATCGCGTTCCTGGTCAGCCCTTTGATGTGGCAGCATTGTCGGGCTGACCAAGATGCTCTTCATATAGAGATTTGTATAACTATGGGCTGACCAACAGCATGGGGCTGACAAAGGTTTAAAGGATATGTAAAATTTTTATTTTCAGAAAAAATCTACCCCTCTGATGGGCCTATTAATAAAATCATACCACTGAAGAGTATTCCGAAAAGTATATACCTTAATATATTCGGGAAGTGACAGAAAAAATACTTTTATTCACTTATAAAACCTCTACAAAAATCAATTTTTTAGTTCCGTCAATCTTATGATCACCACTTTATATTTTTTTTACAATCACGGCTACAAAACACCTGATACCACCAAATTTGGGAGTTTCAGACACCCTTTAACAAGAACTTAAAATAATCATTTTTGGATGAGTTGACGTAGGTACACTATCCGGATTTCGTGGAAACAATATTTAAACTGATAAGATTATTTGTTTAATGATCTTGAATTTTCAATTGTTGTTCGAGATAAAACTAGATCACACTTTTTATTTCCCAGTAAACAATTAGCGGAGTGCAAGTATGTGCAGTTTAAGGATTTATTGTGTTTTGTTAACAACGATTACCCTGTGCTTGGCTTCTGCAGAAACTGTGAGTATTTTTCAATATAACTCTGATTTCCGTTAGTTAAAAGTTATAAATGCGCACTGTGAATGTAGAGTGCTGAAACAAAATTTTGTGATTTTATTATGAATTACAGGTATAGGCGGGTTTATAATACTTTACAGATTTGTTTGAAGGTGATTGACAATGTTTCATGATGAATTTCACTAGTTCGGACTTCCATTTTCTGATATATAAAATGATTTGAAATACCTGAAACAACTAAAAAAGAAGAATTGAAAATGAATAGCTGAAAATAACAATTATATTAACCAAAATAAACCTGAAATGAAATAATAATGTAATAAAATACAAGTAAAAATAGAACAATTGAATAAATAAAAATAAAGAAATGAAAAAAGAAAATAAAAATAAAAAGTGGAGAGATTCCAAGTCACGTTAGTTCACGACGTTTCGCTTGTTAGTATCTACCATCGTCTTCGGGTGATGACTGGACTGATTCCTCCGAGAGATGACTATTTATAGGTCGTTCGAGTACTTTCACTTATCCCCGCTTTTCATTTTCCGCTTCACTGGTTCCTTGGGAGATGACCGTTTTGGCGGAAGTTGGCCATTTTTCGCTTGCTGATGGGTTTCCATATGTTGCGTATTTCTACGCTCGCTGTGTGTGCAACACACACAGCGAGGGAAAACCAGCAAATCAGGAATAGCAGACCATGTTTGGACCCATCAACACAACATCGAGTGGTCCCAAGCTGAGATCTTGCACAGAGCGGAACATTGGTTTAGGAGAAAATTCAAGGAAGCCGCATACAACATGTATGCATGTATCGCGAACGGATCACCAACAAAAGATACATACTTGTTAAAACTGATATCTTTGCTTATCGTTATATGTATATGTGTGTATTATACAGTGCATTCTTTCAATGTCCCCCCCCCTTTTATCACATTAATGCATGAATACTTTATTTTTAAGTGACATTGACAGATGAAACTTTCAAGATGGCGACTGGGCGCCTTCTGGGAAAAAAAATTAAATGGAATGGGGGGTCTTGTATACATCTTTTTGAAGCTCCTGACAAATGCCCTGTATTCGAATAATCAATAATCCAGATCGCAGAATCTGATTCCGACTAGATGGGGCACCGTTACATTTCGATGCAACTTTGTGCGAGTTTGTGCCCGCTAGACCACCAGATCTCAGCTCATTAGACTTATTTCTATAGGGGTTGATCAATCTGAAGTCCTAATAACATATTTAGTGATATTCACGTCGCGAAAGAACAAATTACGCAAAAAATTAGAACATACCACTTGTTGTGTTATGAAATATCGGAGACGAATCAAATGCTTGAGTGGGTCATTTTCCAAGGATTACTGGGGAGAATTTTGAACATCTTCTGTGAATTTTCTTGGTTTGGATTTGGTGGTATATCTAGTAGCCACATTACGACAGTTCATTTCATATTTTCATTATGTATATTATTCGGGTATTATTCTGCAGAAATCATAAACATTTTCGAGTGGAAGACGAATGGAAAAGTTGAGTTTTCTTTCGTTCGAAAAAGTCGAATAGCTTAAGGGGAAAAATACTTCATATAGAACACCAGAGAGGTGCCACCAGAGTGACTTTGAAATATCTTTTAGTGAAACCTAGAACCCATCAAAAAATACAAATCCCATGACCCATTACATAATCTGCACAACAATCAAATACTTTTTGTTTTGTTCCAGGCAGACCCGGAAGACAAGTGCCCTGCAGATGTGAGTATAATTTGTTCAATAGAAAAAGTATTTAGAGTAATAGTAAGAGTACGGCTCTGCCGTACTCTTACCTCAGAGAGCCTCATTTACCTTTGACATTCGGATACTGGTTCTTCTGTGTGGCATCTTTGTGAGGGCAGACGTCATTCGAAGTTCAGCCAAATATTACTATTGAGAATTGGATGCCAAATTTTCTGTTTTTAAGATTTTGGTTTCAGCAAGTTACGTCGCAATGGAAGCTGCAGCTCCTTTTATCTTTATTGATGTTGGATCGAATCTTTTTGTCTCACTGTTGAGATGTTTGCATATGCCATGGCTTGCAGAAATTCAAATAGGGCGTTTTTTGATTTGATTACTCCAAAATCTGAGTGACTAGGAGGATAACAACTTTCAGTCTCTCAGTTTTTCTGGTGAATCATTATTTATAATTTTTAGATGCCTTTTATTCTAACAAATACACTCACCTTTGTTACCCACCCTCATTTTCCGTTTAAGAAAGTATAAAAGCTACACCTCACGGTTTGATCTTCACAAACTGTATTTGCAAAAGCTACTGTGATAGCAAAACAAATAAAAGAAGAACATGAAGAAAATTGCTGTCTTGGGCAAGGTAAAAATTCCGCAGGTACTTGACAGGTACTGCAAAGGACAAAACACAATATATTAGAATGGTTATACTGAACCAGGAAGCCAAGAATATATAGAAACAGTAAGAACACGACCTTTTCCTAATGCATTTATGGAAACAAAACTCTGGGAAAGTTATCTCGTAACCTCCAGTGCAAAGATGTCATAACTTACACTAGAGTTTAGAAAAAAATGAGCTAATATGCTCATGCAAAGACATAGTCTCAATAATCACCAAGCAACTTGGTAAACACTTGTATTGACCTGCAAGATCACCTGATTTAACGCCTTCGAATTTCCTTCCATGCGGACCACCTGAATTGTGCGTTTAATGTGAACAAACTGGTTCAAGATGGACCGCCTCTCCACTTCTTTAGTCCAACTTTGACCAATCATTTTCTCTATGTTTGTTGTAGGTTGCTCCCAGACAATGCCGTCTTCGTGAATCCTTATACGAATACCACCTTTGGAACTATTTTGCAGGGTTTTACTGCTACAATTATACCAACGACGCCAGATTACTCAAAAGATACAAATATGAGTCGTATGCGGTGTTGTGCAGAAATGAACCAAAAACAGTCCCAGTTGCTATAGTGAGTATAATAATAATGATAATGAATTGAAAAGGTAGATATTTCCGGGGGGAATGATTCGAAGAACTTTGTATAGAAGTGTATAATTGAGAAATCATTCATTTTAGGGGTGATACGTTTTTGTATAAAAAGGTGGGAAGCTATAAAGGTATATTCCCAATGTTGAAAATTTTACTTGAAGAGGCTGAATTACATTAATAGGTATGTCGGCATGTCGACAAAAAATCCGTCGCATGAGCATTGCTAGGGGATTGTTAAATGACGTCAACGACTATCCAGATTTGCTGGAGACGGTCATAACTGGTGACGAATCATGGGTATACGGTTATAACATTGAAACCAAATTTAATCGTCCCAATGGAAGAGCCCTAGAGAGCCAAGACCAAAGAAAGCACGCCAAGTTCGATGAAATGCTAAGGTTTTGCTCTTTGATTACCGTGGCATAGTGCATCAGTTCTTGCCACATGGTCGTACGATCGTAGTTTGGAACTGCACCCTAACGTTTCGCTAGCACGAGTGGCTGGCTTCTTCAGAGGTTTGGTGGTACCGATATGAATATTCAATGCAAGGACCGAACACCAAAATGCAATATAGCAAAAAGAGAAATTGTGGCTATGAAAATTCTGAACTCAGATGAGAAGATTTACCTGCTGATCAGGGAAATATCACTATGCTCTTGAAAACAGATGAATATATCGGAAAAATTGAAGAACTTCTCAAACCGTCCAGCTATCGCAAGCTAAAAAGAGACCCAACACAATTAAGGTTGCGGAATACGAACCGTCTCATAAAATCATCATCATTGCCGGAAACCACCCAGAAGACCATTCTATGAACCGAAACCGTCTCGCCAAGGGTTCGCCTACGTATTTCTACACACCGAGCATCGCTTCTCTAGCCTCATGTTGACAAAAACAACCTCGTACATCAAGGATTCGACAGACTTTGTGGGAACGATTAAGATTGTAACGTTGGAGCCAGGTTTTATTCTGGTCAGATTGGACGTTGTGTCCTTGATCACCAACGTCCCGCTGGAAGATTCTTCAAGAGAGATAGGCAACCTGTTTCCTAGTGATATTGTCGAGCTCTTCAAGGTCTGGCTAACGGGGAATTACTTCCAATGGAAAGAAGATTTCTATGAGCAATTAGACGGTATAGCGATGGGAAGTCCACTCAGCCTGGTGATAGCCAACTTCTTCAAGAAGCAATTTGAGAAGTATGCAATCGTCGTTTTCGATTTCAAACCATTTGGCTACGATACATGGATGACACTTTCGTCATCTGGAGACATGGGAGGGACAGACCGACCTATTTCTAGACCAAATAAATGCTCAACATCCTAGCATCAAGTTCACCATGGATACTGAACAGGAATAACGGATGGTGTACCGAAAACTGACACATACGGACAGATATCTGCATGCACTGTCGAACACCCCGATGGAACGTGCCCATAGAATATGTGAACCGGAACACAGACAAGAAGAATTGGATCACCTTCAAGTGGCTTTAAGATCGAATGGATACAGTGTAGTCGAAATAAACGAGACCATGAAACTTAAGACTTTCACAAGTCGAAATAGGAAAGAAACTCAAGCGGTTGCACGTGCATTTCTATCGTACATCCCTAGGGTTGACGACAGAATTGGAAAAATCTTAGGAAAGCATAAATTCAAAACAGTATTCAAACCCATCAGAAAAATACAACAAAGTCTGAGATCTGCGAAAGACAAAAGAGATCCCCTATCAGCTGAGGGGGTATATCGTATACCATGCACCTACGGAAAAGTGTATATTAGTACCACCAAAAGATCCATGAGTACAAGGCTGAATGAACATCGGAGGTCAAATAGACAAATCGGCAATAGCGGAACACGCCCTTAGTGAAGAAGATCACACGATACTGTTTGAAGATGTAAAACTACTCGCCCCCGATCATGGATACCACAGTCGGCTTGTATGGGAAGCCATAGAAATCCATAAACATACGGAAAACTACAACAGAAAAGAGGAGGGGGTAACGCTTAACCGGATTTGGAATCCCATACTGAAAGATGCTGAAGTGGCAACATCGCAATGCAATGTTACTTCGGCCAACGCATCAACAAGAGAGGCGGACTACCTGAGTTAATATAAATACAACCTAAGAACTAGAAATCACCCTGTCATCGGTGAATTATCAAGATGAATAAACCGCTGAAGGAGCTAGCCACTCGTGCTGGCTGGCGAAACGTTAGGATGCAGTTCTACTGTTACACTGAAAGGATTATTATCTTGGAGTTATGCGCCGCTTGCGAGAAGCGATACGAAGGAAACGTCCAATATTTTGGAAAAACTATTCATGACTTTGGCAATAACGCCGTAATCATGCCTTAGCCACCGTATTCACCAGATTTGGCCCCCTGTAACTTCTCTCTGTTCCCAAGATTGAAGAGAACCATGAAAGGATTGCGTTTTGTGACGATTGAGAAGATAAAAACCGAATCGCTAAGTGAGCTCAAGTACATATCATATAATAACTGCTTCGAGAATTTTGAAAAAAATGAAAATTCATCTTATTTTTTGAACAAACCTCTATTGATTTCATTAACGATTATTACCGAATTCTGATGTGTATGTCTGAGTTTGTGTATATATTCAAAGGTGATCATATCACTCCTCAACTTCGAATTTGAATAACCCCCCCCCATGCACGAGACTTTTATATTTCATGGGTTTACAATATTCATTCACGAGAATGGTGAATTGGATGTAAAAATTATTATTATTACCATTATCTCAACACCAGAACTATGAGAGTTAATAAATTGTTGTTTCAGATTGATGAAAAGACATCTGTATTCTATGACTACACGAATTCCACAGCGATGCACTATATTCAAAGATCCTTCAAATCAGAAATCCTCTTCAAAAACTTTTTAACTTGTTGTCGAGAAGCAGTTGATTGTTGCAAACATCATATGAATAATGACAATATCATGCTGAGTGAGTATGTAGTATAATTTGTCCATTAACTCATCAATTTTTTATTATAATAGCCATCCTGATAGTAAAAAGTAATAAATGCCCATCATTAATGCAAAACGTATCAATAAACAAAGTTTTGTGATTTCGTTATGATTTGCCACAGCTGGTATAGGCCGATTTATAATACTTCACCAGTTCCACCCTGTTTATGTATCACAAACAAAATATTATATGAGTTTCTGGCGTGCGTTTGGATATTTGATCAAAAATATTCGCTATAGCACATATTCCGTTTCATAGATCAAAGGAGTCTAGTGTTACTCAGCATGCCTTTTAGATAGCGTCGCGTCGAGAAATGATATGTTTGTTCTGGTGTCTGAAATGTGCGTGAAATCCATATAGTCCTGTTATAATTTTAGTATTTTGAAGCTATTTGCATTCTTCTTCAGATAGTACACACTGCCCTGCCGTTTGGGATGCCTGGTCCTGCTTTCCACCAACTCCTGTAGGAACAACGGCAAAACTTCCATGTAGTGGCCAAGCCTATCAGTCGCCAGATGCAGTTTGCCGATGTGAGTATATTTTGATGCTCGTGTTGTACAGAACCAGGTGATACCCAACAATAGCTTTCTTAAGCTTCCTGAACATTCTTGCTTGAGAAAACTTTTGTATAGTGAAGTACGTGTCGCGGATTATGAAGAACCCTTTTAGTAAAAATCTTCTCAGTTAGTGATGTTTTATATTTAGTATAAGTATAGGTCTTTGGGACCTGTTCACTGTGTAAATTCAAAAGACTTATTGGGAAAAAGCAAGAAACCAATATATTGCTTTGCTGACCAGTTCAAACCGCGAATTGCGGTTTGAACTGCTTGACTATCCGCCTTATTCACCAGACCTAACGCCAAGCGACTTCTTTTTGTTCTCTCATCTAAAAATTGCGCCCAAAGGATAGATATTTTCGTCGAATTACCTTCGTGAACAATTATTTTGCAGAGGAGAAAAACGAGTACTATTTGGAGGGGTTACAGTTGAAAGTTGAAAGGAAACTGTGTTGAAAAAAAATACTAATAAAATGTCTTGTATCTTTGTTAGGTCAGGAACTTTTTAGATCACCCTCGTATAACTTCCACAAGAACAAGATCTATAAATATTAGAAATGCAACTTTTCGTTCTTTCTTTTGTTCTGTTGGGTTTTGTATAGATCTAATTCTGTAAGAAGTAACATCATATCTTTTTCCAACTCGTCCTATCGTTTCAGATAGTCCTGGTAGGTATAAGTTAGTTATTTTGTTAAAAATCGAATTTCAAATTATTGTTTTCTTATTACTTTTTCTGCAGTAGAAAGCGAAAAGGAGTGTATCCAGAATGGAGATCATGCAGACTGGATATCTCAAACAAATTATCAAACGTGTGCCATCGCTCCAATTTATAGAAGGAGATATAATTTCCACATAAAGTTCTTGGGAACTTGCGTTGTGTTTTGTATTCCTGCTATCGTCATATTCCTTGTGTTTGAGAAACTTCGAAAAACCACAAGAGTGGTTCTTCATCGAAACTTACTGATAGCAATATGCGTGAGGAATGCGATGACGATTATGTCGAAAGGTATGTGTAAACAATTTATCAACTATCTATCAAAAATCTACAACTAGATTGTGTTTAATATGAAACAGTTACGAACAATGCGAAATATCATACTTGAAATCGTCATAACGTTTCAAGTATATAAAAACTGTTCCTAACTATACTTTATTCATCCAATTTCCTTTCCCTATGGAATATTTCAGAAAGAAAAAACTCCTACATTATTGAATAAATACTTTCTCCTAAAATATTGTGATGTCACAAGTCAATGAGAATATTGACATCACTATACTACAGGCAGACAAACTTAAGGGGAATAATGACACTACTATACTACAGGAAGACAATCTCAAGAGGAATACTGACATTACTATATTACAAGCAGACAAACTCAAGGGGAATACTGACACCACCATATTACAGGCAGACAAACTCAAGGGGAATAATGACACTACTATACTACAGGAAGACAATCTCAAGAGGAATACTGACATTACTATATTACAAGCAGACAAACTCAAAGGGAATACTGACATCACCATATTACAGGCAGACAAACTCAAGAGGAATACCGACATGACTATATTACAGGCAGGCAAACTCAAGGGGGATTCTGACATCACTATACTTACAGGCAGACAAAGTCAAAAGAAATACTGATAACACTATACTACAGGCAGACAAACTCAAAGGAAATACAGACATCACTATATTACAGGCAGACAAACTCAAGGGGAACAATGATACCACTATAATACAGGAAGACAAGCTCAAGAGAAATACTGACATTACTAGATTACAAGCAGACAAACTCAATGGGAATACTGACATGACTATACTACAGGCAGACAAACTCTAGGGGAATACTGACATCACTATACTACAGGCAGACAAACTCAAGGGGAATAATGACACCACTATACTACAGGAAGATAAGCTCAAGGGGAAAACTGACATTACTATATTACAGGCAGATAAAACTCAAGGGGAATACTGACGCCACCATATTACAGGTATACAAGCTCAGGGGGAATACTGACATGACTATACTACAGGCAGACAAACTCAAGGGGAATAATAACACCTCTATACTACAGAAAGACAAGCTTACAGGCAGATAAAAGTCAAGGGGAATACTGACACCATATTACAGGCAGACAAGCTCAAGGGGAATACCGACATGACTATACTATAGGCAGACAAACTCAAAGGGAATACTGACATCACTATACTACAGGCAGACAAACTCAAGGGGAATACTGACACCACCATACTACAAGCAGATAAGCTCAAGGGGAATACTGACACCACTATACTATAGGCAGACAAAGGCAACAAGACTGTTGCCTTTGTTTAAACGGTTTAAACTGCGTCTGGTGTTTTTAGTTGTTCGAAGTTTCGGGAGCCACTATTCTCCAATTATTCAAGTCATAAAAGTAAAAACGGTGATATTATTGAAATTATTACCATATTTTTTCAATAAAACCACTTTAATGTAAACGACCGGCTCATATTCAATTCATTAGGTTGACTTATATAGGTTCGTACTATAGATTTTATCAAACCACTTCTAATCCAATATTTCCTTTTACTTCATCTGATATGATGATACTTTTTAACCGTTCTACCCCTCAAAAAACATCTGCCATTCTCAAAAATATAGACCACTCATAAATATCTAACTAGTTGATATAGACCATTATCTGATATAGATGCCATTTGGAGTACCATTATATCTACAGATACTTTATAACTATAATTTCAGAAATAGTCCTTATAGATGCCTTGAAGACCTCTGCATACACCCATCATATAATGGACAATAATGGAATAGGATGTAGGATATTGGCATTTCTGGAGACCTCTTCAATAAATTCAATATATGCCTGCATGATCTTAGACGGCTTCTATCTGCACAAGGTTATTGTAAGAGCTTTCGCCAAAGAAATCAAGATGAAACATATTTATATAGCATTAGTAGGTGAGCATTTTGACAACTATCATGGTAGATAGGTTGACTTGAAGACTTGTTTCAGTGTTGACTTTTTCATCAAGCATACCTTGGGCTATCGCGATGGCTGCATTAGAAGCGAAAAATTGTTGGATGGTGGATATTCATAATCTCCAGTGGATTGTGGATGGATACCGAATAGTTATTTTGGTAATCAACACCATATTTTTGATGGACATAATCAGAGTTATGCTCTTGAAAATGAAACATGGGGGAACAACGAGACAAACAATGTGAGTGAATTAATTGACGAGTTACTGATAGGCTCTTGGACAATAAGTAGATTTACGGTAATCTACAAAGTGGATGTTATCAATGGTGAACTGTGTGACCAGGTGTTTACGAAACGGAAATTATAATAATGAAAATACTAGTCTTTTGGACCCACTTTGCCATAACATCTGGTCAGGCTGGAGTCCAACCAAGGTGGGTCACTTTCAGAAGGGGTATATTTCAAGATTTCAAGGTGATTCCCTCAGTCCCCTTCTGTTATGCCATTATCCTCGCACTCAGAAATACTTGAGGGTATAACTGTAGCACCCCCAGAAACCGGAGGCATAAGGTCACCCATTTGTTTTATATGGATGATCTTAAACTTCATGCCTCTGGAGAGAAGTATCTCCATCAGTCTTCGGGGGTGGTGGAAGAGTATACGCTTGCTATTGGTGAGAAATTCAGGATAGGTGAATGTGCAATGATTTATTTCAAAAGAAACTCGTGCTGGATGCCGGAGAGGCTTAAACTTACGTCGGGTTGAACAGCGCCTCTTACAAGAGGTAACAGTGAAGAACTTTCTCCACTGCAAGTATCAGCACAAATTCCGACAGATCTGGTCATCGGAACTGTCGGGAAAGAACAAAGTTGCTGCAACGAATATGCTTGCCATTCCATTCTTACTCTACTCGTTTGGAGTAATGGAGTAGACTCGGGAGGAGCTGTATAGATTTGACGTAGATACCTGAAAAATGATGCACCTTCATAGGAGTTTGCATCCCAAGTCGTCCATTCCACGATTGTACTTCCCCCGGCAACATAGAGGCCGGGGATCTTCGAGTTTGGAATATCTACATGACAGAATGGTCCCGGATGGAGCCTGTAAAGTCGTCAGGAGTATGGATCCCCTTTCTCTTCATGGTCCGCGACCATGAGAGAGCAGGAATTGGAGCATTTCTCCTCAGGGCAGCTGCCCGAGCAGCTGATGAACTCGGTTCAGTTTTCGACACTGAACGAGGTAAACACAACTTTGTCCCCGAGTTGGAACCCGTTTTGTAAAAAGCCGCAGAGATTACCTCACTTCTGCGGAAACACAAGGATAAGCCAGTACATGGGGTCTTCTTCGATAACATTGAAGACCTTGGATCATCAAAGCGCCTGACTTTCGCTTTCGTCAGGTCGAGTTGGCTGAAGTCGGAAACTGAGGGGTTCATCATGGCTTGCCAGGATGGGTATGAAGGTTCCTGCTATCAGCAGGTCTCGGCCTATATCCATCGACATAACGCGGCCATTAGAGTACTATATTACCATCTACGGCACTCTTACGGTATTGATGAGACACCGGTGTTGCCCTACGCTCCGGGGGATATTGAATCCGTTGTGGGAAACGAGAAGTGCCGAACTTATTGGAACTGTTCGTTCCCCACCCTCAGGCTCAAACAAGCTAATAAGCCTGATGTAGTCCTTCTCGACCATCAGAGCAAGACGATGTTAGTCGAGGAGTTTTCAGCTCCTGGCGAGATGAATATCTATTTATTTATTTATTTATTTACTTTTTACTCCTACAAACACAATATTGAATTGTAATTAAAAGTAAGAGAGATAAAACTACAATAACAAAATAAGCTTAAGAACTACTAACTAAAATAAAATAGAACAGTAAATATAAAAGGAAACAAAAAAGAAATCAAATAAATTATCGCAATTTTTAAAATGTATACAAGTACCTATAAATTAAGTTACCCAATACCTAGAAATTAATCCGGCTGTGAGAAAAAGTAGGCCCTTATCTCTTTGGCATTTGTTTTAGTAAAAAGATCCACGGTGCTATTTTCAGTTAAAATGTTGCAATGATTTAGCATACGGGTGATTGGCGAGTTATCAGAAAGGCCGATAAAGAATATTCTCTTGTCCTGTCTACGCAGGTTTACCTTAGGCACCAACAATTTTACATAGTTGACCAGAGATGATTTCTTGTACTTTACATTATTAATTATATAGTATACAAAAAGAACATCCTGTAATGCACGTCTGCTCTGTAAAGTAACAATGTTAAATTCCTTGAGCATGCTTCTGTAAGACACCATAATGGGATAGCAGCCATAAATTTTGACATAAAGATATCTAAGAAATCTTTTTTGAACTTTTTCAATCAAATCTGCGTTGGTCTCTCCCTGTGGTGACCAAATAACAGAAGCATACTCAAGATGAGGTCTAACTAGAGCCTTAAATAACTTTACAATACACCCAACATCTCTAAAGTTTTTTGTATTTCTAATAACAAAACCAAGAATCTTATAGGCTTTGTTGACAATATATTCATAGTGAGTGTTGAATTTGAGGTTGAATTTGAGGAATATCATCCGAAGAGGGGAGGAAAAACGGATAAAATATTGAGATTTTTCTCTTCGAACTCCGCAGACTCAATCCAGACCACTCTGTGAAGATGATTGTTCTGATTATTGGAGTCCTTGGTGGAATGATGTCCTCTCTACTGTTGAATCTTAAAATCATACCGGCTTGCCGCACTAAGGCAGAGATCTCAGCGGGACAGATGCAGAAGACTGTCATTCTTGGCTCACTGCGCTTACTCAGGGCACATGATTCTCGAACCCAATTATCACTCACCCCACGGTGTGGGGAGTGGTGGTTGGTTGATAATGCTGGCGCGCCCTGTTGAATGTATCTTGGCTTCAGGGGTTAGGGTCTGACCAGCGCATACAATGGTAAAAAAAATAATAAATGATAAATCGTCTTTGTCAACCACATAAAGTACAATTGAAACAAACCAAAAGAAGAAATAAACAACATTTAGTATAAAGGTGAATAGGCGGAAATAATTTTCAGAGAATAATGACTTATCTAGTGCATTTTGTTTGAGCGCCATTGTCAAAACTGAATTATTTTTGATTGACTAGATAAAAATAGAAGTTCCAATGAAAAAAAAATATGGACTTTGAAATTGGTTGCAAACAACATGCTAATTACACATAACAGGCCGAAACGATAATGGATGTTCTTGAATTGATTTATTGATAATTTATATTGCAACATGAACAAACCAAAGAACATCACCTTCAAGACTTTTAGCATATGCATGTTATTAGCTGGATAAATATAGCTTTTATGACATTTTAGTAGTAGTTCAGGTTCAAATACACTGCTCAGTAATGAAATTTTTGAGGGCAAGAATTAATAAAAAGTGATAACAAATACCGTACAGTGATGCTATTGAATGAAGTAGTAAAGGAATATATAATACTCGTACCATAATCAGATACTCAAAACTATCTTCTCCTTTACACATATCTTGAAGCAGATGAAATACCAATAATATATCTTTGATAAACGAACAGAACTGGCCGATACTAACTAATTATTACAGTTTATTGTATGATTTTCACTATGAAGGATTTTACAAACACCACGACACGAGTTTTACTATACAAACCCTCTGTAGTGAAAATCATACAATAAACTGTATTAATTAGTTATGATATATCTTTGAACTATGTTCATTACACATATTCTGTTGAAATATTTGTTTCAATTAATTATTGTACTTCTTGATGGATGCCCTCCCACCCTTCTCATTGCATTTTCTGTTTCATTACAATAATAAGGGCCCTCAAATACTCTTCTTATGAATTTTTCTCATGAATTTATAACAAATTCAATGTTTTGTTATGACTTGATATAATTAGACATCTGAAAAGTTCAATGGGTATATTATCTTATCATAACATAAGATCACAAGTTAGGTTGGGTTAGGTTAGGTCCAAGGTGAGTGGGTCTATTCGACCCTCCACCGCAACCCGCAAGGGTTTATTGTGGCTCACACCTATTCACACTCGACCAAATGAACCCAGCTTCTTAACGAAGGTAAACTGTTCGATGCGATGTGAATTAGTCTGGGATACATTTCCTCCCATATATTGAACAAAAATTAAAATGGGACTGAAAATTTAAAAGTTTTTCAAGTTATTTCCTAGTGATAATTTTCAATGAACCTGAGTGTAATATACAGAGTGTACTAATTAAAAATGATCACCCAGGTACTTACTTTGATTATCACCCTGATTATCCAACTCACACACCTGAAATATAAAAATTCAAAATGTCCCGAATAAACATACAATCAAGTCGTAAATATGGCGCAGTCAATTATACCAAATAGATGAGGAAAAATGATAATAAACAAAAACCTTGACAACAATATTTTCGTTCTGATGCTATAATATTCCTGAGACTTTAGTGTCTATTATTATGTCCTTGTACTATAGCATAATTGAATTTCATAACTTCACTTCAAAGTTAGATAATAACTACCCAAAGTTCTGTTTTTTGTCTGTTGACTATTGTCCATTCAATACATGTTTTTTTTTCGTTTCAGGGCAGCCTTCAGAGCGACATTGTTTCTCATTCCTTTGTTTGGCCTCCACATTCTTATCACGGCCAAAAAACTTGTTTATGACGATTCTTGTGCTGCGGAGGATCTTTACGATTATGCCAGATATTCAATGGAATCATTGCAGGGGATACTCGTCGCCATTTTGTTTTGTTATGCCAACAAAGAGGTGAGACTTGGTGCCACTCGGTTGTCATTTTCTTCTTTCATCTTGATTATTTCATTTTATTAAATTTTTTGTATTTTCATTAACGCTAGGCGAAATCGACTGCCTCGGTAGATCTTGCACTTCGTCGACGTACGAATTATCTGCATGTGTTCTTGAATGCTATATCTATCCATAGTGATTTGGCTAAACAGACTAAATAAATGACAACTAATTTGACAGATGTGGCTTTAACAAGATTGCCGTTATAAATTGTCAAAGTTCGAAAATCTCTGTTGGAAGACCCTTTCTAAACTCATTATTATCTAAATCCAATGATAATAACTTCAATAATCTCAAGAAACATACATGATCGTAAAGGGGATAAAAGAGGATACAAATTGATATGTTACAGTAACAATTGAAAGAAAAATAATACGCAGTAGAACCAGATGGAATCCAAAAGTGTTGAAAACTATTGTGCTTCATAAATTGTTATTCTACTGAAGAATAAGGGATTTGAACCAACTTTACTTTTCTTTGAAATGTCTTTGAATACTTTGATTTTTGGGAAAGAAAGTTTTTGGCTTTTTTTTTGTATCAAGATGGAGTAGTAGAAAGCCAAAAACTTTCCTTTCCAAAAATTAATCACTCCTAAAATTATAACCCCTTCAATTCAAATTTGATTTTACTGTGAATCATTTATATCAATTAGAATTGATGGGATGAGTTATGTTCGAATTTTAATAATGGGTCTTTTTTATAGAGCTATGAAAGTTGGCAACACTTTTTTAACTGGCGGCCATCTTGTCGGCTGTCAAGTGATTTATGTTCAGTTTGGTTTGGAATTTCAACATGAATATACTGACGCCTGTTCGAAATACGTATCGCTCACTACGCCCATTTTACGGTCAAAATTTTACGGGCCCATTTTTGTTTAAATGGATACGTCAATAAACAAAACTGTCGTATGTGGATCCATGATAATCCTCAAGTGTATGTCTGAACGTTCCATCCAGAAACACTGTCTTTTTGGTGTCCGTAATTCTTTAAAAATGATACTGGTCAGAACGTTACAGTCAATGGGGACTGCTCTAGAGCCATGACTACTGACTCTTTCGTTCATCAATTGAACAAACATGATATGTAAAAGCTGTGATTCCAACAAGACATATCACACAGCACGTGCCACAATTGATTAATTGAAGGAAACGTTTGGTAACCGTCTAGTTTCACGGTTCGGAACCGTGAATTGGCCTCCAAGATCGTGCGATTTAACGCCGCTAGACTATTTTCTGTGGGGAATTGTGAAGTCGCTGGTCTACACCGACAAGATTGACCATTTGGAGGACAATAACTGCGTTATTGCTGATATACGGCAACAAATGTTGGCAAAAAGTCGAAAATTGGACCTCCGGATTAGACTACGTCCGAGCAAGTCGTGTTGGTCATATGTCAGAAGTCATATTTGAATTATTATGCCAGTAGATTCTCTTTCGAATAGACTAAATTTCATGTCGATTCAAAAATGCATCTTTATGTTTTATCAAATGGATGAAAGTACTTATCTTTGTTTCGAACAATGGACCACTCTCCAGTAAATCCATTTCAATCTTGAAATTTCCAAGAAACAAGTTATAACATTATGGGGCCCTACTGCGGTTTCGTATAAAACCTCCAATTCTATTTGAAAATTCTTGGGGGGGATAACTGTCATTTTAAAAACGTTGAAGAGGGAAATTATATTTTCGTGTCAAATTGCGTCGTTTTTAAATGCCTTAGAAAATATGAGAATTGTCGTAATTTATGATTCTTCTTCAACATCCTCATTCATGTGAATTGGTCATTCTATGAATTTATTGTGTTCTTACTTGAAATCTCAGCGATAATTAACGACACGCATTTTTTAGGTGAAAAATGAATTGAGAAATGCGTACAGAAAGTTGGCTATACATCTGAACCAGAAGTACGGATGGAATATAGGAGAGGAAGCTATCTATAACAACAGACGAGCCACCACAGCTACCTACGTGGGCAAATGAGGTTCACGAAAAAATATTTTTCCCGATGTTAAAGCAATACCTAAATAGAAACTTTTGTAAAGACTGTTTCAAAAACAACTCCAGAGTATGTTTCTGTCGTTTAAATGACGCTGACTGGTTTTGTTTTCCCGTATTGAGGGCTCATATTTTTTTTCATATAAACAATTTGATATGATCTGAATTGTACACGGACATCTGCTAGTTGTGAAATTTTTCGCCAAGTATATTGATGACATAAGTTTTCAGTCTGTTTTAAAATATATTGAATACAGAAATTAGGTGTGCTATTTTCCGCTTGGAAGTAGGCAGATTGAGACCCAGGTGTCAAGTCACAAAACCCTCACACCTGAGGAGTAGGTAGATTGAGACTCCAGTGTAGTCATACCTCCTTGAAAATGAAATTCAAAATCGTAGCCGAAACGTTGAGTAATTGAAAACACCAGACGCTGTTTAACCCGCGTGACGGGGTCTCTCACTCAAAAATCAAAATGGTTTACTTTCGTCGATTCTTCACGAAAAAAATAGTAATTAATATACCTTTTTGAATTAGTAGGTTTGATGTACCAATCAGTTCTACGGATTAGTCATGTAACAACAAAAGGAAGGGTGTTACTATTCCCAGTTTCAATAGCAAATTGTAATTTTTGATCAAATAGAAATAGAGACTAATAACACCCTTCCTTGTCGTTCCTCCTTTTCAAGAAAGCTACTTCAATCTGGTAGACTAGCTTTCTGAAAATGCTTGACTTGAACGATATACAGGGTGGGGCACCGAAAACGAAACAGATCGAATATCTTCAAAACACATGTGTTCTGAAAAAAAAGCAAAAACACCTCGATTTTTAATACAAGGGGGACATCTTCCTATCATAACCTCAACTGTGACATATCGTTGAAAAGGTAATTCCATATGGAATTCAGCCATGTCAATTTTAGCTACCTAACTTTCGATTTTGGCATCTTCTTGAGGAAAAAAAAAGGTTCCGTATTCCAAATTATGATACTTCATTCGCAAGCTAATTTGACATAAATTCGGTGACAATGCATTATGGAGTTTTTGTAAGGAAAAAACAAGATGGCGGCTTCACAATGGCGGCCAAGATTTGCAATTATGGTTCGATTTGATTCAAAATTGTGGTCAATTCACGAAGAAAGAACAATAATTGAAAAAATTACATAATCCAAACTTCGCAAACTACTTTAATTCACAGTAGATGCTCAAAGTGTTCGTCATGAACTGCCATAAATGAGTATAAGTTATTCTCGAAACGCCGTCTGACGTTTTTGAGAATCTCTGAAGTTTTTTGTACCTATCATACCTTTGTAATAACAATTGACTTACTACGCCTATGTATTGGTATAATAAAATAATAACCTTTTGTTTCAGTGCTTATTTGTGTCAGTTTCTTGACAGTAGTACATCAGGTACATTAACGAGTGAAATAAAACATGTTTTTTTTCTATTCAGGATAGGGTAGATATAATTGAATATTATTTAAAAAATAATGAATGTGCCAACACAGCCAGTAGAATTTTCAATGAGCAACACCCAAACAAAAACGTACATCGTAAATACGTTTTGTAACTAATTTCAAAATTTTGACAAACGGGATCTGTGGCAAATAAAACACGTCCAATAGAAAACCCAGTAAGAAACGAAGCAGTGGAGGTAGCAGTTTTAAGACAGATTGCTGCGGATCCAACTCTTGGTATTCGAAAACTTGCCGAATTATGTGAAGTAAGTCGACGTAACGTCGGGCGAATTTTGAAAATTCACAAATTCCATCCATACAAAATTAAACTGGTTCAGGAACTTAACGAAGACGACTTTGATCGTCGAATGAAATTTTGTGAAATCATGAGTGAACGTGCTATAGAATATCCAAATTTCGTTTTCAATATTTGTTTTTCGGATGAATGCAGTTTTTATCTCAACAGGATTGTCACATAATTGTCGGTACTGGTCAGATTGATCCACGAGTGTTTCACCAAGTACATACGCAATCCCCACAAAAATTGAATGTTTGGGCTGGAATATTTGGCGATCGTATTATTGGTCCATACCAGGTAATTTGACTGGGGATATGTATTTGGAATTACTTGAAGATACCGTTGATCCAACATTAACGGACATAATAGAAAACGATAACCGATACCTTGAGGATCATCTAATATTCCAACATGACGGAGCTCCTCCACATTTTGCTGCAGCCGTTCGTCAGTACCAGGAAGAAAGATTTCACAGACAGTGGATTGGAAGAAGAGGATGCATTGAATCCTCCTCGATCTCCAGATTTATCCCCCTTAGATTACTTTTTGTGGGGCCATTTGAAAAGTAAAATATACGCCACTCAGCTAGGTTCGTTAGCAGAGTTACGTCAACGTATTATTACCGAATGTTGTCAAATAACCCTGGACATGCTCCAAAACGTCAGAAAACGTTTTGAGACGAACTTATACTCATGTATGGCAGTGAATGGAGAACACTTCGAGCATCTACTATGAATCAATGTGGTTTGGAATAATCTTAGTTGAAATGCACAATTTTTCAATTTTCAAGGCATGTAATTTTTTCAATTTTTGTTCTTTTTCGTGAATTGTTCACATTACCTTTCGAATAAAATGTGAATTGAAAAACGAAACAGTTGTTTTTCCTGCAATAGAGCGCCAAAATGAAAAGTTAAGTAGCGAACACTCACATGTCTGAATTCCTTGTGGAATTACCTTTTCAATGCTGTGTATACACCTCCTTGAACCAAAGTTCGTCCAGATAATAAATCTTTTTATCATACGTCGAAACTCTTATTGTCTATCTGTTGGGCAATGAATCGTTATGATTATTTGTTTCCAAATTCTGGATTGAATTCTACAAAATACTTTGAAAACTTTCCCTTATGCTACTATACTTCAATTATAAAAAAAATGTTTCTGGGAAAATTGATAGATTGAATAGTTTATTTCAGTAACGCGGATAGCGATGATCAAAAAATTCCTTATGTTGAAAATCGCATGCGCGTATTGCAAAAACCTTCACACCAAAATCAGTCTGCTTCAAATGTTCCTTCATACTTCATAAAAGTATGATAGATAATTATATTGTGTGATGAACTGTTGAGTGGAAGTGGTCGCACTTGACTTAGGTGAGTATAATTCAAGTCTCATTAAAACTTTGATGAGTATTTTGAAACATGTGTAGCCAGTGCAATTTGTAAGATTTTTTCATTGTGGAGTGAATTCATCCTGAACTATTATCGGTTTTGAATTTTCCACTCTTTGAAAAATGAATTTACTTCAGATGTACCTATAACGATATATTTTTCTATTTCACTTTCAACATACCTGAACAGATTTATTCCTTGATTAGTATTCATTAATTTCAGATAGTCATAATTTTATTGAACCTAGTAATTCTTGTTAGTGAAGTTACACACCTAGTGATAAACGTTTTTAAGCAATGATAATAATAATAATATTCATTCTCCATAGAATATTTGAGACACAAGATCTATACTTATAAATGCAAAAGTGACTTACTAAAAACCCATTCATCTTTATTTCTCCATACTGGTAAGTCCCAGGAAGTTAAAATTTGGTGCTTCTTTGGTCTTAGATGCGCACTAAGAAAGGGTTTTAGAATATTCTGAATGATGTTGCCCCCGTGGGTGTGAGAGGGGCGCGTTTACATATTAAAATTACCTTTTCATCACTGTTTCTACGTATCGCTATATTTTAGGAGGCTGAAATTTTCTATGTAGGTTCCTTTATGTTGTAGATATGCAATAAGACAAGATTTTTGAATATTTCAACTGAAGCGCCCCAATTTCCGTACCGGTATATTTTTGGAGACTGAAATTTTGTGTGTAGGTTCGTTCAATGTTGTAGATAAGCAATACATTTTTTTTCAATATCCCAACTGGGGATTATTGAGTGACCTACATTCGAAAGATCGTTTATATATGATGTAACAGGTAGGTATATAGTTCTGTCACACTGAAGCGTGAAATTATTGAATTGAAACAAGTTTTTAAATCCATTCCAGCTTGATACAGTATCGCAGTATCATCTGCAAAGTTTATTATTTCACCTTTGGATTACATCATCAGCAAACTTTCTGAATATACGTTGACGAACAGCGGTCCAAGAACTGTCTCCTACGGCACACCGTCACAAGTCTTCAGGCGATAACCTTGGGAAGAACTATATCTTCTCCGGCTAGGAAAGTGAGGGTCTCTAGAAGGGAGATCAACTGGCAGGCGCGGGTAAAGTACCTCGGCCTTCTAATAGACCGTAGCCTCACTTGGAACCCACACATTATATCAGATAAAACAAGGATCGAGGGCCGGATAGCCAGTTTGTATCCTCTGATCAACAGAAAATTCAAAATGAGTCTCAAGAATAAAATTACCATCTTCAACACGATGTTCAAGCCTGTCATCATGTATGCTTCAGGCGTCTGGGGACAAGCGGCTCCGTCTGATGTCTTCATTCTGGAGAGATTGCAAAATGAGTTAATAAGGATGATTGTGAATGCTCCTTGGTTCGTGCGGAATGAAGTCATCCGCAGAGATTTGCAGCTACCTTCTATTCGGCAGTCCATTCAGTCAAGGAATCAGCGAGTTTTTGATTGCGCAGAAACTCATAATAATCAGTTAGTTAAGGAAGCTATGGATCATGCTGTAGATGACCCCTTCCGATATAGATGGCCCTGACACGCTGGCAAAAACGTCAGTAATTTCTGAGAATTCAGTGCCTACTATTCCGGAATTATAGTATGAAATAGAGAATAATTCAAATAGGACAAACCTAATATCAACTGATTCAATTGTCATCACATCAAAAAAAAATATACAGGAATTTGTTAGCCAATTTTGAACGCAACCTAAAGAAGATCCACTCTTTTGGACAGTACATAAAAAACCGTAGGATTACGAAGTGTTTTGGAAATCCACGTAATTTGTATATTTTCCAGGTTCTTCAGCTGTAGAGCAACACACACATGTAAGTGGTGCTCTGGTTTTCCTCATATTACTCATTATATCGTTCAAGTTCCGAGTCTACGGTTTTGTTCTTTCATTTGTAGGAGTGGCTTTACTCCTAGTGGTGGTGTAAGTTGGGCTTGTTCTTTAAAAATTCAGTGCAGGTACGTATACTTAATTTATGTTGATTCCCTCTTCCATCCGCTCGAAATTGTCTCTATGTTTCTGAGTTTGAATCGCTTCTCTGTATGTATAGTCTTGGATAGTTTTATCCAGCACTTGGGTCTCTTGAAACGTGATCGGTGCCATTTGGGACACCTAGCTCTGCTAGAGCTATTTTGTTGGTATGCCCACATGCTCTTGGTAAGACCCCGAATCATATCTTCGGCCGTTATTCCCGAAAAACGAGTATTTTATTCAACAATTCAATGATTAGATTGCACACATTGTTGATTTGAGTCAACTATAGTCGCAGAGCGTAAACACCATTAGTTTCATATAGAGGAGGATCTTACCTAGGTGTTGTGAAATAGTAACCGTCATAAGACTCAGTTGCTACTCCCCAAACGTGGAGGCAACTTCCAGTACATTCCATCCTAGCAACATCTTTAAGCATCGAGGTAGAAATCAGCTGTCATGTAGAATGTTTTAACGCATCTACAGCATGTCCTAGAGTAATGATAATATTCCGATTTTCTATGGAGGAATCCTGCAGAATTATAGTTCCAGAGTTCATTGCTAGCTTTCGTGCAGTTTGAAGCACTAGAAACTGAGGAGTCCTTTCCGGTGGAAACTCTATCAGATTGGGAATGAAAGCGGTATATATCCAACTGGGTAGTATATTCTAGGATTGCTATTTTGTCGAATGTAACCCGATAGTTTGGAAGGGATGTGATGAATGTATTTTCAGAAAAAGTAAGATATTCACCCGATGCTGCGCATGGTTTCAATGTAGACCCATCCACAGCTGCTAGATCCGGTATAACCCTGGTGTTGCTAAAAATTCTCTGAAATCCTTAGCGATCTCAGACTCTCTCTATCTCTCTGATGGTTTTCTTTGGTCTGAATATGGATTCCACATTGTGTATATCTGTAAAATTTGTAACGAAGGACAGGAAAGCTTTACCCTTGAAGGGTCAACCTGGAGTCACCTACCTGGGACTTAATGATTTATTTCTTTACTAGGAACTAACCCTGCGTTGGTTTCCTGTACACTTTTTGACCGGATGCCCCATCTTCACGTTTGTTCACTAGTACAACCATGAAGGCAATGGGAAATGTTCCTCCTGACGAAAATCAAGTGGTTTTCATGAAAGAGCTCTGAAATAACGCATTTTAAACTCATCATTTCAACCTTTTTCTTTAAAAAATCATTTAAATACTTAAAAAAGTGGAATGAAATAATGCATTCAACATTTAAAAGGATTCGTTTCTATTTCACCATTTGGCAACATCGGTTATAGCTAATAAAGGTCAATGAATCTGTTACCTGTATGAGACAAACAAAGATGACATATTTCAGAGGCATGCTGTTCTGTTCACTTATGTTCCGAGTTCCGAGACATTCTGTGATATATGACATTTTGTGCACTTAACCTATCTTCCTCTATAAAAATAAATAACAAAACAACTGTTGTTTATGTGGCTTGTGGAGGTGGTATTGAACTATAATTTATATTTTGCCTCAATTGTTGTTTTATAAAGATAATTTTCCTTTTTTAAAGTAGAATATCTAGGTACGTATGAATTATTTCAACTAGATATAGGCGCTGTTGCCAATATGTGAATTAGAAGCAAATCCCTTTAAAAACTAAAACCCAAGTGAAGTGAATTTGAAAAACTCATGAATTAAAATCAACTTTATTTTTTTCAAACTTGAATTTGCTCTAATAACCCAAATTGAGGAACATTCCTCATAATATTTTGGGTTCCTCAATGATAAAAAAGTTGAAATCCTATTTTAATGTACAGTGGAATGTTAAAAAATTTCCGATGTGTCATAATAGGAATATAATTGATACTCAATGTTGCATTCCTTTACTTATTAATAGTTTCTTACATTTCACGGATGAAGGTGAATACTAGATAATGCCGCATCTTTGACATTGACCAATTCTTTCGATTACGTGTGAAACGGATTTATAATTCAGTATTATTAGACGTCTGCTGCTGATAAAACTTCAGAAGGCTGAATTGTCACCTAAACTTTTGATTTATTATGCAGAACCATACATTTGTTCTGATATTTCCGCAACTATCATAATAAAATTCATGTGTAACAAATTAATAATACATTTTTTTGAATTGGTTTTGAAATTTTCGTGAGCTAGGATATGATTGGAAGTATTTCGAAGATGAATATTTTGTTTGTGTGTGTGTCATATACGAGTAGAAAGCAGTGGTCATTTATTTCCAAAGTCCTGGTGTGATACGTGAAAATTAAAATGTATTTGCTGATTGCAGCGATCTCTTGTTTCACAACAGACTAACGTATCCTTTGAAATCAGGTTTATTGTTGTAGTAGACGTTATTATTGAAACTAAACTGATATTGAATTTTGACACATTAAATTGACTCTGCTTGTTAATGAATTGAACAAAGACAGTTTTGGTCACAGTTAACTCTGGAACTGCTAGCCGGATGTGAAAAATTATTTCTAGGTATATTCCACATTCATTTCACAGTTCACCACTACTCTTGGCTAGCTTCAAATATTGATATTTTTAAAAAAATTCGAAAGGAAAAGCGAAATGAAAACAAATAGAGGCGATGGCAACTCCCCTATGAAGATGCCACTGATGGGATCGACAGAAGACTAAATCTCAGATAGAGGCATAAAAAATAGAAGTGATTCGTGTGTTCGGAGGTTTTCTGCTTTCGAAAAAGAATTGACGCATAAAAATTTGTTTGAAAAATTGAATTGAGTGCTGAAAAACACTTGAAAGTGTTTTGCTCACTGTTTCCTTCTTTTAGCTTATCGTAGTGCATCAGGAGTTCTTGTCATATGGTCGTACGGTCACTAAGGTGTATTATCTTGAAGTTATGCGCTGCTTGCGGGAAGCTATTCAAAGAAGACGTAATGTTTTAGCCAAAAACAACAATGTGTTCGTGCCTCAGCCACCATATTCACCAGATTTGGCCCCCTGCGACTTTTTATTGTTCTCAAGATTGAAGAGACTCATGGAAGGATGGCGTTTCGAGACGATTGACGAGATAAAACTGAATCGCCGGAAGAGTTCAAAGACATACATAAAAGTGTGCATATCAGATCTGCTTCAACGATTGGAAAATACTCTGAGACAAATGTACCATTTCTGAGGGGGACAAAATGGATTTTGATGAAGAATTGAATATTTAATAGTATATTATGCAACGATCATGTAATGATGGTTATTAAGACACGAGCACACTGTAAATTGTCAATTTAAGAATAAAAATTGACCTGTTCCAGGTTTTTTTCACATAGTACATAATAACGCTTAAAATGAATTTATTTCATACATATGAACCGCACTGTATATATTGAAACATACTCTCTATGTGTCAATATTCAAATGCATCCGAATCTTATTCACTGGTATCTCTTTTTCGCATTGTAATAACTTCGTTATTATTATTAGTACTTGTCGAAGGACGCCATTTTGAACAGAAAACAAAAATTTTAAGTGAGAATAACTGCACTAATATCGAATTTCCACACTCAAATCGCGATCAGTTCCTGAACTGAACATTGATGGCACGACGGCGATAACCATCCCCGCAATCTACGATTTCTATTCGTCACCGCAACATGACTTCAAATTAAATTTTATGACTCTTCAGCCAATCATGGAACCCAGTTAGTAAAAATCATCCAATACGAACCGCCAATTCTGTCCACGAGGACTAGTTCGCACCTGATTCATTTCTATGTGTTGGTTTTTTCGGCCTTTGAAAGTGCCGCTAACTTTAAGTGTGCACAATATTGTTTACTTTCACTATACACGCTGGCAAAATGCAGTCTATTTATCTGTCTATATCTATTCTTATATAAATGTGATAGTTTGTGAGGATGGATGGATGCATGTGCCTCTTTCACGCCTATACGACTGAACGGATTTTGCATAAATACAGCTCATACATCAGAATAACATAGGCTAAAATTTACAAAGGTTTTGTGTAATTTTGGTCATAAAATAACGACAAGTATCAGGTAAGTCGAAAAAATGCTTGTTCCCTGAGACTAATGAAGGATTTTATAAAAAAGCGACACGTGTTTCGCTATACATTACGTTCCTCAAGCTTGAAATATTTAACGATAGCTTGAGTAAGCTATTGTATAGCGAAACACGTGTCGTGGTTTTTGTAACACCCTTTATAGTGAACATCATATGATAAACTGTATTAATAAATTTCAATTATATTCAGGAAGGTAACATTTTCAATATTTATTTCACAATAAGACTTCACCACGTCAACAGAGTGCTTCTCAGAATCATTTTAATCCAACTCTGCGACATTGATTTGTGTAGAGAGGCCAAAAAGAAAACCTGTAAATATTCGTATGATCACGGTGAATATGAGATTATTATATTTTCATTCATGTCACAAAGAGAAGATTCAAAAAAACCACGGAACAATTTCCCATTTTGTCTATGAACACAAAACAAAAAATGATACTGCTATCTCCGTTTCAGATCGATGTTTCGAAACTGAAGGACGTGATTTGCGTACTGAAGGGATGCCGAAACTTTTTAGTCTAACTTTATTAACCTTCCTCGTGTTCCAAGCATGCGAGTCTCAACAAGAAGAAAGAACAGTGTTCGACGTATTGACACCAGTATTGAGACTTTTCAAAGGGGGTCTCGAACCTGGGATAAAAAGAATCATAGAATCGCGAGTAAACAGGCAGCAGCTTGAGTCTTTGAATGTGAGTAGTTGATACAGTTTAGTTACAATGAAAATATTTGTTCTTACTCCTGACAGAGTAAAAGAAGTGTATTATTTTTTATTTCTCAACTTTAAAGTGAAATGATAACCAGGATGAAGCAAAAGTTTGTGAGACCGCTTGAATTTGTTTTGTCGCGACTTATGTTTTCCAGAAACCGAAAAGCCTTCTAAAAAACGATTGTTTTTATTCAATGCATAAAAATTATAGAAACGATGATTAACAATACATGTATAAAATCAGACTAACTGTATAAGGTCGTCTCCGAGGCGATGCTCTCTGGCCGGCTATGCTGATAAGAGGCTTTCCTAGGAAATGTAAAGAGTCAGCAGAATCTGGGGTCAGTGACAACGTAATCTTCCCTCCGACAATGGAAAACAGGGTTTTACGAAGAGAAGAATGCTTTCCATCTTCGGAGGGAGGAATTACGTTGTCACTGACCCCGGATCCTACCGACTGCGCCACTTATGCTTTCCAGAAACCGAAAACTCTTCAAAAAATTATGTTTTTATTCAATACATGAAAATTATAGAAACGATGATAAACAATACATGTACAAAAATCAGACTAACTGCATAAGGTCGTCCCCGAGGCGATGCTCTCGGGCCGGCTATGAGATCCAAGAGCATCCAATGCATTTAGAGACAGTCACTGTTTGGTGTGACCATCACTTTCGATGGCTACCACTATTGGTCGATGATAACCAACTTTTTTCAGTCTGAATTGGTTGACCTGGACACGATATGTGGTTTCAGCGGGAAGGCGCTACCTGCCACACAGTTCATGCCACATCAGATATTACGCACGATGTGGCATGGTAATCTTACGTGGTGGTGATATGAACTGGCCACCGAAATGAGGGATTCTACAGGGTGATTCAAAAGTACTTTGACAAACTTCAGAAGGTGATTCATCACAATATTCTAATATGAATTGTCCAAATAAATAAATGTCCGGAAACGCTTCGTTTCCAAGATACAGGATGTTGAAGTTTTATTTTTATTTTCGTTTTTTTACTCGTTTGAAGGGGTCATTACTGTTGGGTACGTTCCTTTATGACAACCTTAAGCGAAATAGTTATTTTTGTATCAAGGGTGCATAATCAGTATTTGTTTTAATAAAATTTGCAAGAAATGTCAACATTTTATTTTAGGAAATTTTGAATCTGTAGAATAAACTAAAATAAACGAAACTAAATTGTATTCAAATAAATTGTTGGAAGTGTCCACCTTTAGCGAAGATACAAGCAGTCAGTCGTCTAGTCATTGAATCTCGTACCCGCTCAAAAATTATTGGTGTGTTTCTTATTGTTTCACAGGCGTCTACTATTCGGTTTCTTAGATCTTCCTCGTTTACTACTGGAGTATTATAAACTAGTGACTTCAAATGTCCCCAAAAATAAAAATCTATCTGGTTTAGATCTGGGGACCTTGGTGCCCACGCCTGGTTAGGTTCTTCTACACCCCTACCGATCCATCGATTTGGATAGACTGTGTTAAGGAATTCCCTGGCTACAACGCTAAAATGGGGCGGAGCCCCATCATGCATAAACCACATGCGGATACGAATTTCTAATGGTACATTCTGAAGTAGTCCCGGCAATTCATTTTCTAAAAAGTGTCTGTAAGTTGCGCCATTCAGTCGGAGCGGAAGAAAGAAAGGACCTATCAAGTAATTATCAATAATTGCCGCTCATACATTTACAGAAAATTGATACTGATAATGCCTTTCACTAACTGCGTGCGGATTTTCGAGAGCCCAAACATGGTTGTTATGAAAGTTTGTGATAGCATTTCGGGAGAAGTTTGCCTCGTCCGTGAAGAGTACATATCTTAAATATTGAGGATTTCCTGCCAATTTTCTCAAAAATCATTGACATATAGTAATGCGTTGGGGAAAGTCTCGTGGCAAAAGAGCTTGTACCCTTTGAATATGGTATGGATAAAACTGTTGATCGTGGATAATTTTCCAAACTGTGGGCTGAGTAGAATTGACAGCTTCAGCAATTACTCTTGTGCTTGTTTCTGGATTCTCCTCGAGAGCGTTCAAAACAGCTTCTTCCAATTCTGGGGTTCGGACTGCTCGTGGTTTTCCAATAATATCAGCTGCCCTCTTAAAGCTACATGTTTCTGCCAAACGACGATGGAGACTAGCAAATGTTGGAGCTGAAGGCAGTACTCGATTAGGAAATCGCTACTGGTAAATACGTCTTACTTCGCGCGCATTGCCATCCGCAAGGCCATAAAAGAAATGCATATCGGCTAAATGAGCATTATTTAAATAATCCATTTCTTCAAAATAAGTGTTTTCTACTTCTACTTACGGAAACTTCAACAAAACGTCTAACTGTCACAAAATATGTAATTACCAAAAACAAATCACAAACGTCAAATTTATTTCCAAAGCATTCTTGTGAAAAAAGCAAAATATTCGTAATAACTTCAACATGCATCGATTATCAAATAATCGACTTGAAGTTTTCAAGTCCAAATATTTAGAAAACGGTTGCTTACAGCGACTAGTAACAAGGGTATCTTATTTACGTAAATATGATAGAGAAATCGATTTTTTTACTGAAAAATGTGCTAGAAGTACGCCAAAAAAAGACGTGTAGGTGGCGCCCCCTACGAATAAGAGCAATAAGAACATCAGGTTCGAATTCGACACCTCAAAAACCTCCTATTACCAAGTTTCGTTTAATTAAGTTCAGTATTTCAAAAGTTATTTGAAAAAATCGAAAATAAAAATAAAACTTCAACATCCTGTATCTTGGAAACAAAGCGTTTCCGGACATTTATTCATTCGGACAATTCATATTAGAATATTGTGAGGAATCACCTCCTGAAGTTTGTCAAATTACTTCTGAATCACCCTGTATACAGGGAGTTGAGGATTTTTCATTTGTCGATTTAGAAGTTCAATAGAAACTAGAAAGAAGCAGAACTTTCTGAGGATGCGACGCGTGTCATATCGGTTAAATTCATTTTGTCTTGCGATAGTTTCAATTTTGTATTGCTGGGAATTTTTTTTGAATTGTGCCTTATGTAAAATAACTATCTTTTTTATGCTCTCAGCAGAGGAATGACACTATTTTGGCCATGAGTTGTTGTCTGACGAGCTAATCAACTTTGCATTGTTTCAGAAAGCAGCCAAAAAATATATGGGAGACTTTCCCTGTAACTTGACCGTTGCGAGTAGAAGTGCAAAAGTACCAAAAACTGCCCATGAAGTAAGACCTGCTGATATTGACGTCATTGGAGCTATTGGAGACAGCTTAACTGCGGGTAGCGGGATATCTGCAACTTCTATTCTTTTGGAATTGAATGATGATAGGGGAAAATCTTTCTCAATAGGTAATTGTCGAAACACATTAATAATAATAATAATATCTTTATTTACCACTTATGATACAATTTGTATCAGCCAGAAATTTCACATAGATAAGTTAAAAAACTAAAATTTAAATGTTGAAATATAAAATATAATATATGAAATATAAAGCACACAGGTATATTTATGTAAAAATAAGGTACCTAAATCTAGGTCTATTAAACGCATAACTTAAAATTTCACATACACGTAAACACACACACCCATTTAAAAATATAGGTATATATTTACACACATACACATATATATCTACAAACATAAATTCACAATGAGTTGTTTGTGAGGTTGTCATTCAAGAATTCTTGATAACTATAATAGCACTTATCTATTAAAATGTTTTTTATGATTGCCTGAAATTTTATGTCGCTTCTAATTCCTTTAACTTCAGTTGGTAACTTGTTGAAGCAAGTAATGGCATTGTACTGAGGAGACTTCTTAAAAAGTGTCATTCTATGTTGGGGAATTCTAAGAAGGTCACCATTACGTGTATTATAGTAATGCTCGGAGGAGTTTTCTCTGAATAGGTGTANTTGTCAGGTTCAATTATTCAATTAGAAAGTGCTACATTTTGGAGTTTGTGAAAAAAACAATTCGGAGAAGTACTATATTATTTATTAGGAAAATAAACATATAAAAATTGAACGAAACAACTATTAAAACAACTGTTCAAAGTGACGACCCCCAACAGTAATACAAGCTTCTGCTCTCCTCATCAAAGAATTCCGTATCCGTTGAAAAATGCCCGGAGTGTTTCTTATCGTTTCGCAGCAAGCTATGATGCGATCCCTCAACATTTCCTCGTTTTCAATAGGGCTAGCATAAATTAGTGAACTTAGGTGTCCCCTCTTCCTATCCATCGTTGGGGATATGCTACATCTAAAAAATTTCTTGCTATCACACTAAAATGGGCAGGAGCTCCATCGTGCATAAACCAAGAGTGATTTCGGAGACCAATTGGAACATCTTCCATAAGTTGGGAAAGCTCGTGTTCCAAAAAATGTAGGTGAGCATCTCCATTCAAACGTAAGGGGTGGAAATAGGGCCCAATTAAATAATCCCCAATTATGCCAACCCATACATTAAACGAGAATCTGTCTTGGAAATGAGTTTGCGTTATCACATGTGGGTTATCTTCCGCCCAAATGTGGTTGTTATGGACGTTCATGATACCCTTTCTTGAAAAATTAGCCTCATCTGTGACGAGGATTTTCGATAAAATTTGCGGATGTTGTTCGACTTTTCTTTAAAGCCATCGAACAAATTCCATACGTGGTTGGAAATCACGTAGCGTAAGTGTCTGGACACGCTGAATATGATAAGGATATAATTGCTGTTCCTTTAAAATTCTGTAAACTGTCATGTGAGTCACATTTGAAGTTTGACAAATTTTTCTTGTAGTTGTCTCTGGATGTTCACTAATTTCTTCAAGAACCGCCTCCTTCAATTCTACAGTTCTTGTAGTCTGTGGCCGTCCTACTGCAGAACTTCTTTCAGAGCTTCCAGATTCGGAAAGTCGCCGGAAAAGATTTGCAAATGTCGCTTTACAAGGAGTCACACGTTGGGGATATCTTTTCTGATAGATGCGTCTGCTATAAAGTAATATGCATCGATATAGAAAATTGTAAATATCTCGAAAACGATCACCTCCAGCGTTGTTGAGGAAGTGTACCTTTTTTACTTGGAAAAGGTGTGTGAATTATGTTTTTTCATGAAAAGTACCAAATGTTAATTGTCAAAAAAGTTAGGGCAATTTGAAATAAATAATGACAGCGTACGCAGCGCCCTCTAGATGTTACATGAAAATTAATACGAAATTATGATTTCCCACGTCAAAAAAACCCCGGGTACCGAATTTCGTGCGAATAACTTATTTTTTGCAAGAGTTATTTTCAAAAAGCGAACAAAAAAATTCAATTTCAACACCCCGTATCTCCGAAACGAAGCATTTTCGGACACAAGTTCATACAGACTTTTTTTGTTAAAATTGCTTAGGAATACGTCACTTGAATATTTGAACGTACTTATGTTACACCATGTAGATGCAATTCAAATTTTCCAATATTTGCTGTTGTTTCCTGTACTACTGAAATTACCGAAAACATATGAATAACTGTTTTGCATACTCTTCTAGAAGGACCATAGAAGTTCTTGGACTCTTTGAAAGTATTTTTTTGAAAAGTGTCAGTAAAACACCTTTCATTGGTGAGGATCACAACTTTTGATTCGAAGATATAGGCGCACGGCGACTTCGGCAAAGTTTTCGAAATCTAAATTTTTGTTTCATATTCGGTTTTTTGTCGGTTCTCCTATCCTATCGGTATCCTATCCTAAAATTTGGATTTAATCTTTTTTGAAGGTCATACTAAACGTATTTTGAATGTTCTGAAATCACTATCATACTTGTTTGAAAAATATAAGTGGAGGGGTTAGTCTACAAAAGTGGAGGTATGCTAAAACTCCTGACGATTATGACACTTCAGTTTCAGCTTTTCTTCAACAGATGACACTAAGTGCAAAGAATTTCATGAAATAAATTTTACAGGTGATACTGTAATCACGTTTCGAAATCACTTTTCATACTCTATGTTTATATCTGGTCGTGTAACAGAAAAGGAAAACTTTTATTGTTCATTACTGTAGAGGTTCATACTATAAACTTCAAATGTTCAGAAATACTTATTTGACAAGAGTCAGTCTGCCATCTACTGAAGATTAGTCAACTTTCCAATGGCCATCATACTCCCGTTTCAGCTTTTCGTCGGTAGATGACGGTATGAGTGCCAAACGTTTTATAAAATCAATTTGTACAGGGGATATTATAATCATTTTATAAAATATTTTTATATGGAATATCTTTCATTTCTATTCGTAAAAAGTAGAAGAAACTTTTCTGTTCATTATGGTGAAGGTGAAGGTGAAGGTTTATATTATATTATTTGAATGTTATGATATCAGTATCATACTTGTTTGAAAAAAGTGAGTCTGCCAACTACCGGAAATGTATCGTAAACATAACATGAAATCATAATTCAGTTTCAGCTTTTTGTCAATAGATGATAGAATTGATTTGTACAGGGGGTACAATAATCACTTTTCAAAATTAGTATGTATATAAAAATTATTTATTTTAATTTGTATATGAAAATAAAAAAAAATGTTGTTTCTTGCATAGGGAACGTTTCAATTTTCTATTCATTACCAAACATGTGCAACGAAGAAATAAACTTTTCGTGAACCAGATCACCAGTTTTTGACCTAAATTTTTATAGACTCAATATAGAAATTGTACCGGGTTGTCATTAGAAATAAATGATGCATGAATCACTGAAAGAAAAATCGTATCCACAACCGTTTCGTCGAAGAACTTGATGTTCACCATTATTTTTACATTCACAGGGGGCCAAGGCGATTGGAGATCCTATCTCACCCTGCCAAACATATTAAAGGAGTTCAACCCAAATTTATTTGGATACGCTCGTGGAGCATCCATAACTGTCGAGCCGGATTCTCAATTCAACGTGGCCGAAATTGGAGCGATATCCAGTGACATGCCTTTCATGGCTAATGTTCTGGTTCAGAGAATGAAGGAAGATCCAAGAGTTGATATTAATAATCATTGGAAGGTGAGAGTAACACATATCTTTTACTATGTTTATATTCGGAAGCCAGCTTAATGAGTCTCTATTGATTACTACCAACACTTTCTCACTGAAATAAGGAATTAGCAGGAGTATATCGCAAGGAATTGGCGCCCAACGTGGGGCTCCAATAAAAAATTAATAACAAGTTATCTAGGAGAACAATTCGTTCAAGCTAGTCTCAAATTACCTACACTTCAAGTTAATGGACTGACACCTATTAGAAAACAACTACTCCCCTGGCTAATACCACGAAGGGCGTTGGATTATATCCAAACGGTGTCAGTGCAGGATTCTTCACTGAAGTTATTCCTGCATATGCTGTTAACGGTACAACTGTCGCTAAACAGCCCGAAACCGGCCTGCAAGTGTGTTCCAATAATTTAAAATCTATTGCAGTGGTTGTATAGCCAACAGTATATGCAGGAATAACTTCAGTGAAGAATCCTGCACTGACGACTGTATTTCAGCTTGACCACTGGCTCCCCAAAAATATTTCGAAAATTTCTCTGTCAAACCGAATAGTTTTGTCTCTTGGTATTTTCAAGCTAACCCTGTTTTCATTTTCCAGCTGATAACTCACATGATTGGGGCTAATGACTTCTCTACTGAAATCTGCTATTACAAGAACCCGTATGACGTACTTGAGAAGCACAGACAAGACCTCATAAAAGTATTGAGGACCTTCCGAGACAACTTACCAAGAACAATAGTGATTGTTCTTCCACCTCCTAGTAAGATATTTTCGATGTATGGATTTTTCGATTTGCCTCAATATTATAATCAGTAATGATTCCATAATTGTTCCTATGTACCACGAGTTTTGGGGAATTGATTGGAAATTGATTTTTACTTCAGCAAATTTGTATACAGTACGATGCAAATGTATGGAATAAATTCGATATTCACAAAAGGAGCGTCTTTCGGAAGAAATCCAAAAATAAGTCAACTTTAATTTTTGACGGCCCATCTCATGATATTCAAATGAAAGACGTTTCGTCACCAGTGTTGGCGTGATGACGTAATCGACAATTTTTTTAAATGCAAACAGGGGTCGTGTGGCACCCCATTCAAAAGGTCTACTAGTCGTCTATTCAACGGTATAATGGTTTCAATATTTATTAATACAGGGTCAACCGAAATTATGTATTCAGAAGACTGGAATTACAAATAATAGTAATTCGTTGAACCAAATAATGCTATGCACCGCCACTGAGAATAAAGTATCGTACTGTCTTCTATTGTTTTTGTTGATTAGAAAAAAGAAATGGTGATAAAAGTCCTACACGAAATACCCCAACCGAGAACCCGTTTCTCAATCAACAATAAGTAAAATTGAGTAAAAGTTTCGAGAAACGGGCCGTGTTAAAGATCTCCCTAAAAGTGGTAGAAAATCAATTTCAGAAGTCCAAAAACTTGATGTGGTACTTGCGTTCCAAGAAAACCCCCATACCATCACGAGGCAAGTCGGACTGGATAATAATTTACACCAATCGACTGTTGTTAGAGTGTTGAAAAAAGAAAAGTGGCATCCGTATAAAGTTCAGCTGGTCCAAGAACTGTTAGAAGATGACTTTGACAGAAGAGTCGAATTTTGCGAAATCATGATGGAGCGCTCGCACAGAGATCGGAGTTTTATAGAAAATATCATATTTTCAGATGAAGCTACTTTTATGCTCAACGGTCACGTAAACCGTCAGACTTATCGATACTGGGCAAGAGAAAATCCACATTGGATGGAGGAGCATAGCACACAATATCCACAAAAAGTGAATGTTTGGGCCGGAATTTTGAACAACCAGATAATAGGACCATACTTTTTTGAGGAAAGCGTAACTGGTGCTTGGTATCTACACTTTCTTCAAGATTATCTGATGCCACAACTGAATCAGCTATTTCCAAATAGAAATGATTTGTGGTTCCAGCAGGATGGGGCGCCCCCACACTACGCCGTTGATGTACGAACCTACCTGGATACTGTTTTCCGAGGAAAGTGGATAGGAAGAAGAGGGCCGATCGAATGGCCACCAAGGTCTCCGGATTTGACCCCGTTAGACTTTTTTTATGGGGATACTTGAAGAGTAAAGTTTACCAAAATTGACCAAATGATTTAGAAGAGTTGAAGGAACGCATCAGAGCGGAGATTGCATAAATAACCCCCGAAGTTCTCGGAAACGTTAGAAATGAATTCAGTGCCCGGCTTTCACATTGCATCATAGCTGAAGGTCATCAATTTGAACATTCATTATAATTTTATTGCACTTCAATAAATAACATGTTTTGGTTCATCTTGTATAAATGAATATTGGCATGGTTATATCGTTGAATAGATGATTAGTAGACCTTTTGAATGAGGTGCCACATGACCCCTGTTTGCATTTAAAAAAATTGTCGATTACGTCATCACGCCAACACCGGTGACGAAACGTCTTTCATATGAATATCATGAGATGGGCCGTCAAAACTTAAAGTTGACCTGTTTTTGGATTTCTTCCGAAAGACGCTCATTTTGTAAATATCGAATTTATTCCATACATTTGCATCGTACTGTACTATATTATATGCCCAGAGAGAAAGTTGGGTAGTTCGAACTCCTCTCTAGTATTTCAGAACCACGATATCAAATTGTGTTGTATAAACACGAGTAGAAAATTTTGCTGGATATGTTAATTGTGACGGTACTTTTGATATATTAACTCAATCATCCAGACCAATTTGCAACAGCAAACGCTATTGCTTGATATGAGTCAAAACTCTTTCCTGAGATTATAGGGGAAGGAGAAGACAAACACTATTTCCATAAATGAATTATTGATAGAAAAGGCACCATAACTGAGTCATATACTGATTCATCATAACTAATTCATCTGTGAAGATTGCGGCAAGAAAAAGGGACATTTTATTTAGATGATCTTGTCAACTTCAACATGTTTGGAAGGGTAGCCTGTGATATTCTCCAAAGGAAGATGGCTGATGTATACAGTTTGTGCCATTGGGAGCAGGAATCTGAGTGATATAACTCATCTAGATTGGCATTTGACAGCACCAAAAAAACTTTTATCGATAAAAATACTAAAGAAATTGTTTTTAGTCTGGATTACTGGCGCTGAATTCTATGTGAGGAAGGGCCATTCAGATAGTTTCACTGGACCAGAACTTATTATGGTTCAGGTTTGACCAAATCAGGTTCGATTCATTCATTATTCATAATTCTTTTGTAAAATGCCTCTGATTGAATGATTATAACAGGAATGACCTATGCTGACCAACAGGTCTATGCGTTAGTCAATGAAAATCCTCTTGAAAATGTTCATCTCAATCAGAGGAAGAGCAATAACCAAATTAATCAAAACAGAATCGGTTAAACGGGCTTGAATATAAACGTAGCTTCTTCAAACTTCCAAGTTTGCGATATGACTTTCAAAAATGTGGATTTCGAACACATAAGCTGACATTTTTAATTTTTCCTGAATTTCCCAGCAATGGTATTTTGATATTCAACTTTCTCTCAAATACAAATGTGTTCAAGAAAAGAGATTCATGCCGATTGTTTTGAAATTTCCAGACCTGGAAGAAATAACCAGATGGAATGATCTGTCCCCGATTTGTGTAGTGTCGCATTCATTTTTTAGTCCTTGCATAAAAGGAGTTGCTTTCAAGAAGAAGCAAAAGATGTTCTTCGACATCATGAAGAAATGGCAGCAAATCGACATCGAAGTTTCCGATATGCCAGAATTTGATCTGGATGACTTTACTGTCATCACTCCGTTGTTTTTCAGCAACTACACTGTTCCAAAAACGGACCGCGGAACAACAGACTATGGATATTTTGCCCCGGACTGTTTCCATTTCTCAGAAAAAGGACACGCCAAAGGTACATGTATTACTATGTTCAAAAAAGTACCGGGAATCGGTTATTAAAACGGATTGATCAATTCCCGGTATTCACCAGAAACAGAGATGCATGTTTTGAAATTTAATTTCATCATATCATTTATATTATGCAAAATCTGCTTCAAAGTACGCTCCTTCCAATATAAAAGACTTATGCCAACGAACAACACAATCGTCAACACATTTTTCAAATGCTTTTTTTGAATCCATGAATGAAAACTGGTGCCTCGAACTGATAATTTGAATTTCGGAAAAAAAATTGGCTGGAGTCATATCAGGTGAATGAGGTAGCTGTTCGATAAGGTTCCTTGAATTTTTCCCTAGAAATTCGTTCACAATGATAGCTTTAAGAGATGGTGCTTTATCGTGGTGAATGATGAGTTTTCTTCCCACCTATCTGATCCTTCATGAAAAAACTGTTCCCTCAAACGCCGCATAACACTCAGATGATATTCTTCATTTACTGTCTCACCTTCTGCCAAAAAATCTGATAGCACAACCCCAGTAATATTCATTACTATTGATCATTTCTTTTCAGTGGCAAACGATCTATGGAATTCTCTATTGGAACCTTTTGGTAACAAGAGCACAGATGGAACGGAATTCTTATCGAAATTTAACTGTCCAACTGAAGAACATCCCTACATCTTCACCAGAAGAAATAGCATCAAGATTACTAAAACAGATCCATAAACATTATCACTTCGAAATGGAATAGATACCCTATTTTAATTGTATGTGTTGGAATCGGCTTGATGAAAATCCATAACGTACAAAAAAAAGCTTAATTGTGAGATTTTCACCAAACGCAACACTTGTTTCGCTATACGATAGCTTCTTCTGGCGTGTCTGAGATAGTTTTACAAAAACTAATCACGTGTTTTGATATTAAATAGCTTTTGATATTGAATAACTCCATGTATACATAGCTCATAGCTCTATGTATACAATAGCTTCTTTGGGCGTGTCTAGACTATATGTATACAGAGCTCATAGGTCCATGTACATGATAGTATTTTCGGACGTATACTCTATGTATATATATAGCTCATAGTTCCATGTATACAATAGCTCCTTCGGGCTTGTCTATACTCCGCGTGTATTCATGACTCTATGTATACAAAAGCTCCTTTGGGCGTCTTTATACTCTATGTATAGAATAGTTCCTTTGGGCGTGCCTATACTCCATTCATACTTAGCTCATAGCTCCATGTATACAGAAGCTTCTTTGGGCGTTTGTATACTCCATGTGTATATAGCTCATAGCTCCATGTATATGATAGTTTCTTCGGACGTAAATATACTCTATGTTTATATAGCTCCTAGCTCCATTTAAACAATAGCTCCTTCGGGCGTGTCTGTACTCCATGTGTATATAACTCATAGCTCTATGTATACAATAGCTCCTTCAGGCGTATTCATACTCCGTGTCTCCATGTATACAAAGACATAGCTCTATGTATAAAATAGCTTCTTTGGACGTTCCTATATTCCATGCATATATAGCTCATAGCTCCATGTACACAATAGCTTCCTTTGGGCGTGTGTATACTCCATGTATTCATAGATCATAGCTCCATGTATACAATAGCTTTTCTGGGCGTAGCTATACTCTACGTTCATGTAGCTTATAGCCCCATGTATGCAATAGCTCTTTCGGGTGTGTCTATACTTCACGTGTATATAGCTCATAGTTCGATGTATACAATAGCTTCTACAAGCGTGTCTATATTCCAGGTATACATAGCTCATAGCTCATTGTATACAGTAGCTTCTTTGGGCGTGTCTACACTTAGTACATAAACGCCCGAAGAAGCTATTGTATAGCGAAACACGTATTGCGTTACGTGTTGAGTGAAAATCTCATAATGAAGTGTCTTTTGAGCAACTTGACTGTTTTCATCAAGTTGGTTTTCAAAGGAGTGGAGTGATGAGAAAATGATTTAGGATACTAATTACACTGAGGTGATGATTTACTTAGATTTAGATCAACCAGAGAAACATATGTGATTTATTTATTAAAATAATTTATTCATGTCGACTGTTGACGAAGGTTGGATGGTTTTATAATATGAAAGAAGAAAAACGAAATTAAATGTATTTTTCCATTAATTTATTTTCTTTGTTGGATGGAAAAATATTGATACGTGTTCGGAAATAATCTGGAACTGCATGCGTATTGTTTATATTCATTTCATACCTATTTTACTCTTTTTTATCCATAGAACCAAAATTCTAATACATGTTAGGAATCACACCATAAAAGGTAAGACCTCGTTAGTCTTTAGCTCGCACAAGTTTCTCAACTTCTGAGAGTTGTCGTTCGTATGGGGGCGATAGATGATTAACGGAAAAACAGATTTTGAACAGATGTGATTATGAAAAACTTTTATCCGACATGGCCTAGTGAAAATGATGTTGAGAAATACGTTATTCAAAGAATAGAACGTTATTTTAGAGATAAAAAAGGCTCATTACTAGAAGAACGAACAAACGGAATATTTTGATTCGATTATTTTCAGTATCTTAAATGAATTTAATTGATCCATTTGTCTCAAAAATACATTTCAGCTACATTTTAAGAGTTTTAGTGGATTTCTGGGCTGTGAGTGGTACACATACCCAAAAAAATAAAAAAAGTTTTTCCTCAGGAATTCATTCAATAACATGTTTGGATTGGCAGATACACCTTGTTTACCTAATATATTGGTTTATTTGATCAGGCACCGAAAGTGATCAAACTTGTGAAAAACTTAAACATTGAAAAAATTGCGTCATGGATTACACAAGTTTATAACGGAACTAAAAATCTTCCGAATGACCCTCATTATTTACAATCGTGAGCATGAATCTCTACTCGTAGCAGAAAGGAAACTGTGTTGAATTTTGATGTATTATCGACTCGTGGGTATTCTTCAAAACTGTATCATTGACTTGAAGTTCATACCCTCACATAAAAATGATTATTTAATGTTTGTGTACATTTATCATCTGTGGAAATACATTTTATAACAATAAATGGAAACGGGATAAGGTTAAATTACATTGAAAAATGGAATGAAGAGATAGCCTGAAGGCTATCATCTATTTCAGTCAATCTAGGGTAGGATTACAATTAACTCGATAACAGCTGAATAGAAAGTAACATACATATCACAGATTTTAACAGATTGGATGAATCTTGAGAATGCTCTTCAATTTTTTCAATAATTGTTCGAGTTGTGAGACCTGCCCTTTACTGTCCTAGGTTCTGAACTCCTGACTGACTTTACAGCTTCTCAACTCATTTTTATTTCCATTGTAGAAGTTTTAACCGTTCAGGAAGTAGGTACCTACCGGAGGGTTGAGAAAGTAGCATTTGACATAAAAATAATGGGTAATTTTTCAAGAGCCATAGAATTTGATTTACAAAACAACACAAATATTTGAAAAACTTGATGAAATCTTTATTGGAATCGATGAAACAATCGATATAATTTAATGCTTGAAGATGATTTCATGCAAATATTGTCCGTGGATCCGCTTTAGATAGCCCATGCGCAAGGTCCAATTTTGGCACATTCTCTCTAACATTTCGAACGGTATTTCACGTATAAATTCTTCAATATTGGCTTCCAGTGCGTCAGTCGTTGCTGGTTTATCCCTGTAGACATGAGCCACAATAAATAATCCAAAGGCGTTAAATCACACGATCTAGGCGGCCAATTGACGGGCCCCAAACGTGAGATAAACTGTTCACCGAGGGCAGCTCTTAATTGGGCCATTGTTTCGCTTGCCGTGTAGCATGTGACACCATCTTGTTGAAACCACACGTCAAGCATGTCCAATTCTTTCATTTTGGGCAACAAAAAGTGGTCCGGCCATTGCCGTCTTTGAAAAAGTACGGCCCGATGATGCCACCGACCCATAATCCACACCAAACAGTGACTTTTTCGGGATGCATCGGTAGCTCTTGCAATGCTTGTGGCTGGTCCGGCAATTTTGTTTGTTAACGCAACCAGAAATGAGCCTCGTCGCTGAACGCAAGTTTTCGATAATAATGTGGATCTTTCTCTAACTTTGCCAGCTCCCATTCACCAAATGTTAGACGTTGTGGGAGGTCGTGTGGCTTCAATTCTTGCACCAGCTGTATCTTATAAGGTTTTACACCCGAATCCTTTCGCAAAATTTTCCACGTAGTGGAGTAACAGAGGCCCAATTGCTGCGAACGGCGGCGAATCGACATTTCACGGTCATCACGAACACTGGCGGATACAGCCGCAATATTTTCTTCGGTTCTCGTGTAGGAGGTAACCTGGCTAGATTGAAGCTGATTTTCGTCGCAGCCCTGGCGAATAGTTGGTACCTTAGCTCGTCAAGGTTATGGGTGGTGGGATTGCCTCCGTATAAAACAATTATGACTTGCTCACCAGCTGCTGCTATCTCGTCAGGTGTAGAGTTGGTGTCGAAAAAAATCGCAGCTTGCTTTTCAACGTCCGGATTTTTTTTGACTATGGGCATCATTTGCATCTTTCCTAAGCCAAAGAAACATGATGTCGAGTCACAACCACTAAAGACATGGATGGAGATGAAAAGCTTCTGAAGAAGTGAGCGGAAATATTCGTTAGGCCAACATCACGAATAAGTCTGCAAAAAATCATAACTACCGGTTTTCAAAAACTAGTCCTTCAGGGTTATTATCGCCAAAATTGGAGAAAAAACCCGATTATTCGCGGTGTTTTCGATTTTTGACAAAGTTGCGTTAGGCGCACGAGGTCACAAATTTGGATTATTCGTTAGGCCAACACCACAAATAAGTCTGCAAAGAATCAGAACTACCGGATTTCAAAAACTTGGATTATTCAATAGGCAGACATCACAAACAAGTCTACAAAAAATCGGAACTACCGGATTTGACACATACTACTCCATACTTTCAGGCGACAAAGTTACTATATTAATTTGAAGGAATGGTCATCTCACGTGGAAGTGATGAGAACTGGCCACCGAGATCATGGGATTTGACCCCGTTAGACTTTTTCTTGTGAGGTTTTCTCAAGTCCCAAGGGTGTGCTAATGAGTCACAAACCACAGTGGTCTTCAAAGCCCACATAACCCATGCCATCGGTCAAATTCAGCCCTATTTATGCGCCAGAGCATGGAAAATTGGACGTTTTGGATGCGATCCACACAAAGAAGCCATAGCGGACATTTGAGAGATGTTATATCCCACACATAATGGCATCAATAGGTCTTTCAAACTTTGTTCAACTATAATTTGAAGATACGAAGCAACTATTGAAAGACCCAATATATCATAATCCGGTATGTGTTTTAAACGAAATTATAATGCACAATGCGTAGGTATGCGTTACCGATACGCAATACCATAGTCTGTGCCCTTCAGGTGAAAGTTCCATAAATCTTGTTGCTTAATATTGTTCATACCAATATTTTGAGGTGCCCCGATGCCTCTGAAGGTATACGAGTAATGTGAGAATGCCCCTCCTACCGGCAATTGATACGACGAGCGGTCTGTTGCATGATTTTTTTAATTGCAGCGTTAGATACCGTCTTCACCAGTCATCAATGGTTGTTTTTTTAGATAGTACACGCTCAAAGAAATGTGTTACTCTACGCGCTGTGTTTGAAGCTTTTCCAGTGGGTGGATGGTTTATTTAAGGGGTGAGTTCTACTGAAATCATTGAAAAATTAAAATACAGTAACTGATGATGCTACCGTGTGGAGAAACGCGTGTTTAATGAAATTTATCATGCAAATCATACAATTATTATCATGAAGAGTGTTGAAATGAAATGAAATGAAATGTTGAAATGTAATGATCGAAGGTGATACCAAAAGACCTTAATTTTTTAATGAAACCAGCTTGATAAAGCTGAAAATAATATAGCTCCCCCAGGTGCATGTTGTTTTCTGTCTCATTTGTAGTTTCTGTTATCATTATTAGTGAAAGATATGCTGTAATTTTGTTTCGAAGTGACAAATAAACGTATTGCCATCATAATAATCAAAAATAACAAAGTTCGAGTTCAAAAACATGGACATTTATCTGAGAACTTTTTTTAGATAGATCTTTTTTTAGATTCGCAAGAAGTATCCTCAATTGAATGCATCGATATAAAAACAAAATTTCAGGTCTTCAATGAAATAACGAGAAATTCCAAAAAGAGTAATTGTTTCAAAGTACAATTACTGGAGACAGAATGTTCAAATATATGAATAAGAGGATTTCATTGTTGAAGTCTATCGTGCCTTGACATGAGACAGTAGAGCCAACACCCGAGTCACCCAACTTAGCTGACGCGACGAGTTTGTGTTAACAGTTAGGTTAGGTAAGGTCAACAGTGAGTGGGTCTATTCGACACTCCACCGCAACCCGCAAGGGTTTATTGTGGCTCACACCTAATCACACTCGACCGAATAAACCCAGTCTCTCAAAGAATCCGATTAGTTTGTATGGTGACTAGTTTTTCAGGTCAGATGGCAACAGTACGGCTCAACCAAACTCTGAAAACCTGATTCGATCTCCTGCAGGGCAGGCCCAAAGTATGTGCTCTGCTGTTTCATAATTTTCCAAAAAGAGATGACACACACTTTCTTCCAACAGTCCAAATCTCTGCATATGATGATATAAATGACAGTGACCTGTGAGAAGGCTTGTTAGACATCGTAGTTCATTTCTACTGTAGTCCAAAAACTGTTTGGTATCAAGCTTCGAAGGGTGACTAAATACCTTGGAGAGAGCTAATCCTGGACGATTCTGCCAAAAGTCCATAAATCTTCTTGCCATCCAGATGGTCAATGTTTCTTTGGCAAAGTTGGAAGCTATGTCAATGACAGGTTCTGGTCCGATGAAGCTGCTTGCAGCACTCTCGTTTGCAGGAGAGTCAGCACCCTCATTGCCTTCCAGGCCAGTATAAGTCTTCCTATCGAGGAGTCATTTTTGGTAATTTGCTACCAATTTACACGTTGCTCGATAGAACCTAAGAGCATCCAACGCCACTTGACTGTCCAAGAATATTTTTATTGATTTGTGTATGAGGTTGGATTCTTCCAATCTCTCGGTACACAATTCATAAGCGTAAATTTCCTCGGTCTTCGACTGAAAAAACCGGCACCGGAACCTGAAGGTGTTTTTGATCTATCTGTGAACCAACAACTATCCGCTGTTAATATTTTCTTCTCCCAGAGTATCCAGTCTTCTCTACTCGGGAACAGTACTCTATAAAGCAGTTCATAGTTGACAGTTGAAGGTATACGGTCAGAGATCATTTCCAGAATGCTGTGAGTTTCACTGTCTACCAGCAGTCTGTTGCACTCTGCATTGAATTGATTTGTGCAATTGGCAATCTAAACGAATCTATATGCAGTCCATCTAGCCTCCCTCCCCAGAAAAATGTCGAGAGGATGTAGATTCAACCTTTTCAATCCGGATTTTTTGTTGTAAGATTCTGGTAATTTATTCAGATGGATATGAGAGATGGTAGTAGACAATAAGTAAACTCGATGAAATTTTATTAATTTTTCACTGAGTTTTACGAAAAAAAAAAATAGGAACCAATATGTCCCAATGGTATTTCATAGCGGGACAATTATGTCCCATCAGTATCCTATTCTAAGAATGAAATGGTGTGAAACAATCAATGCATAACGGTAAATTGCACATTTCACACCTCAGCTTTGTGCGTCTTTCCCTCTTCTTCTTGGAGCAGCTTTAACATCTTCTTCTGTTTCTTTCTTGAATAGATACGTGGTCTCCAACATTAGTTTTATGTTTGGAAGATTTAGAATGACGTCCAACTTTCCTCGTGCGTTTCATCTTGGTTCCCTTTCTGCCTTCAGCTATCAAACCTTCTGCTAGTGGGACTAACAATTGTATGAATGTCACTTGTTTATGAGTTACTTCCTTGAACACAACAAATGAATTATAGACTGCCATCATAAGGAGTTTGTAGTAAACTTTGCGCCACTATTTCTGGGACTTCCTTTTTATTTCGTAAAGTGAAGTCATTTGATCGGCCAGATCTACTCCACCCATTCTTTTATTATAAAATGAAATAGTCTTTGGACAATATATTCCTGTTATAGAACCATCTTTCATCTTTCTGTTTACTTTCACTATAGTTGGTTTGTGGCAGTTGAATAAGAAATCTTTAGTATCCTGCCACCTAATGGAAAGAGTACCTTGTCTGTTACCGACAATTTGAGATTCACCTCTGTTCAATTTTCTTTCAAGAAGGAAGAATCGGTCAAATATAAGTGTAACTTGTTTTCCAGTGATGATGGAGGCTAGTTTATTCACAACTCGCTCTCTAAGAGTCTCTTCTTGCACATTAGTTTCTTTACCGCAATATATATTCATGTCATACACATATCCTGTCGATGAATCGAATCTAGTCCAAATTTTCACTCCTAATCCAAATTTTCACTCTTTTTATGGGTTTGAGTGGCATATATTGCTTGAGACTGGACCTTCCTTTGAATTTAGCCATCGATTCATCAATAGACTGATATGTGCTATCAGTTCTTGTTGAGGAGAATGTTTTTTTCAAACACGAGATAACTTCGTCCATATAATAAGTCTTGGTCGCATTTTCTGGTTTCCTAGGATCGTTGAAATACAACTTTGAAAGAAGTTGCTGACATCTGTCTCGGGAGATTGCATTTTTTATTGCTTCATTTGCAAGAGTCGACCAATACATAGCAAAAGTTGAAACCCTATTATAATGCATTACAAGTAAAATTCCAGTCACAAGCATCAGTTCTCTCGCAGAAGCCCTTTCAATTTTCAGTTTTCTATTGCTACGTTCAGCTTCGTGTAAATCCAATATCTGGTTTGTACAATGAGCCATGAACATAAACAAGCTCCTGGGAAACAAAGATAGAAAGCAATCTAACTCACTGCTTCCTCGATTTAGTTTTGACAGTATGATAGGTGCACATTCAGTCGAAATCGATTTTCTGGGTGAAAAATCATCATTTTCGTTCACTGGCAACCATACTATTTTCGATCCGTCTGACTGAATATTAGATTTCTCATCTGGTTCAACTTCATCTTGTCCAACTTCAACAGAATCAACATTATCGATACCAGATTCATTTTCTGATTTCAAACTTGGATCTGTATCCACATCTGAGTCACGGCTGAAAATCTTTGTCGCGAACACTATCGTCACTTTCAAATGGATCTTCTAGTGAATCATTCTCGGATTCGATTGATTCTGAATTATCAGCAAGCTCCTGAAGGGTATTTTTCTGTTATTCATCCTGAAAAGAATGATACTTCATTAGAGTCAACAAGTACCTATAGGGATATTTACGACCCGATGTAAAGTCCTAGTGAGACGTATATGTTCCAACGAACAACAATGATTCAATAATTTCTAATGATTTCAACTTACTTTGTGAGTGTCCACAAGTCACTGAGGAGATCGAAATCACAAGATTTATCTTGACAAGGATGTAAACATAACCTCAATCACACATAATAATGAACGACTTTGAACACAACTGGAAAACATTGTGATAAAAGAACGCACATGCAAATTTCCCATGTTGCCGCATTCTACGAAACAACAATGTGACTATAAACTACTGAATTGTCCCAGTTACGGCTATTCTGAATTCACATTGACCGCTACAGAAATTTATGGGTATCCATTGGGACCTATATGTCCCTACAGGACTGCAAAGGCTAGAAGGATCTCCATGGCCGCTGACAGTGTTGTACTGATGGCACCACTAATGGCTAGACAAGCTTGTCTCTGTAAGTTAGAGAGCTTCACTGTGTCTACATATGTATGTATGCACTACATATCATATGTAGATGTTTGTTAATTGTATTGGTGAGTTTTGATACAATTGCATTCGATTTGTCCCAGTAGAGTCAGGACCTAGTCAATGTAATAATCCTACGTGAGATCAGGCATGTGAGTGATATCTGCTTCAGTTTAATAATTGTTCAGTGAGACAATGTTGGGATTGCACGTTGAAAGGTAAGACCTCGTTAATCTTTAGGTTGCACAAATTTCTACTTTTGAGGGTTATTGTTCGTAGGAAGTCGACGAAAAGACATATTTTTCAAAGATAGACTTTCACATCTCGAGGAATACATAGAAAGTGTCACTATTTGCAGGATTTGACGGCTGTGGATTTTTGAAATTTTTCCTAACGTTTTATAGCCCAGAAGGAAGATTCTAGAAGTTATTGAAAATGCTCCAAACTGCGTTAGTAACGGGGTACCTTCCAATGTACTCCCTAGAAAATCATGAAGACAATTCTGCTGAAGCAAAAGCAAACGGTTCGATGATAGCCTACAAATTGACTCTGCGTCTATATTATTGACTTCTGGTTTTGTAGCCAGTGTTGCATACATAGTCATATCATTTTTATATTGGTTCATCTTTGGTCATTACGTTCTTAGGACGACTGATCCAATTTATGTTAGTGGAAAATTTTCTACTAAGCAGATGTGAATATTCCACTTCATTATTCCAAATCCTTCGTGTTATTTGATGTATTGAAATTATTCTTCGCCAGGTTATGATCAGATTCCATTTCATATTTCTAGTGTGGTGAATTTGAACGAAATCTCTTTCGGATGATTTGTAATTTGCACCTGCAATATCATAAATTCAATGTAATCGTTAATTATTTCTGGGAGT